AGTCTAACCTAGGGAGGGGGATTATGAGAGAATTTGGGAATTTGTGGATGGATAGATAACTCTCTATTACTTATATAGTGAGTTGTTGAAACTAAGTAGGACCAAGTAGGAGCTAGTACAATAGGCAGAAACCTTGGTGAGGGAATTTAACTAAAGCCAAGGCCATGGTGGTCGGATAGATGAGGTAAGCTAACAAATTAAAAAGGAAAAATTTGTGGTTTATAATTTAGTATCAAAGCCTTTTCCTTAATTCTAGCGAAGGACAAAGACAGATTGTTGAGAGATGGGTAAAGCAGGGTGTAAAAGGAACCAAGGTAGAGATGGAACCTTTGATTAATTAAGAAGCTATGGATGAGGAATCTTTCAATGAGAAAGACGTTAGTGAGGAAACTTCCAAACAAGAGTCCGATGGTAAAGTTTGATTGTCCAAGGCTCTTGTCACGCTTTAGCTTGTGTACAAAGGTCTTTAGTAGGGCATTGATTTGTGCCAATTATCCTCAATTATCCTGAAGAGGAAGAAAATGCAAAAGACTATAGATGTTGGTAGTTGCACAAGGTGTGGACCCTTTGGCAAGGACTGAGGTGGAACCAAACAAAGTCGAACAAACCGAAGTGGAATTAATCCCTTAAACAGTTCCCAAGTACAAAAAGCCCCATCAGTCTTCAAGAAAGTAAATGACTATAAGGTGGTAGAGGATTGGTTTTACAATATAGAGGATTACTTCCAAGCGTTGTAATTACCAAATTTGAAGAAGATCCCATGTGTGAAACCATACTTGGCAAATAATGCTAAATCTTAGTAGAGAACAATAGAGGCTAACGAAGGACTAATGGCCACTTAGGAAATGATGAAGGTGAAGATTTGCCTGATTTACGTTCCTTCAAATGCTACTTTGCACCTAAGGGATTAGTTGAATAAGCTGAAACAGATAAAAACCATTCAAGAGTATGTGAATGTGTTTATGGCATTCATGGCATTCATGTGAATGTGTTCAGAGGATCCTTGTCATGGACATAGGCCTTGAGCAAAGTTACATTTGCTCTCTTTAACATACAGTTTATGTTTTTTTAGTTTTTCAAACACTTTTGTCAAGTATTCGGCATGCTCTTTTAGCATCTTCCTATAGATCAAGATGTTTCAATATAGATACCCACAAAATAATCTAAATAGAGTACAAAAATGTGATTCATCAGCGCTAAAAATGTCATTGGTGCATTATACAGCCTAAAGGGCATCACTAAAAACTCAAAGCTTCCATACCTTGTCTGACAGATTGTATTTTTGACATCTTCCTTTACTACCCTGATTTGAAAGTATCCTGACCTTAGGTCAATCCTCGATAAGTATTTTGCCTTTCCCAACCTATCAAACAAGTCCTCAATCCTTGGTAAAGGGTACTTCTTCTTCTTTGTATACTTGCTGAGCAACTGATAGTCTATGCATATGCACATTGAGCCATCTTTCTTTTTCATAAATAACACCAGCACCTCATATAGCAACTTGCTAAACCTAATATACCCTTTTTCCACCAATTCCTCAAGTTGACACTTAAGCTCCTTGAGTTCCTTTTCGTTAAACCAATAGGGGGGAGGAACCACTTCCTTAGCACCTTCAACCAATTAAATTTTATGTTCTATAAGTCGAGTGGGGGGTAACCCTGCCAGTAACTCCTCTGGCATGGTATCTCAAAATTGATTTAACACCCATTAGATCACTAAAGGTATTTCTTTTATTTCTACCTTTGTGTCACTCCCCATTGAGAGTAAACACAAAAATGCTGCCTTAGTTGCTTTAGTGAGTTGTCCTCTCGTGAACACCATATTCAAGCAGGAGTCTTTGGCCTTACATTGCCCTACCTTTAGATCCTGGGCCTCCACCCTAGATTATTTTCCCCAAGCATTCGTCAATATCACCAGGTTCCTACTTTATCCATGCAAAGTTATTATAAATTGATTGAACCAATCCATCCTAAAAATTACATCAAATTCCGCCATGTCTAACATGGTGAAATCCATATCTACTTTTTATATATCTACTTCGACTCTTGTTTGTCGAAATACTTTATTTGTGCTTTTACTACCTTGAACAAACTCTATCATCTTTGGTTCACCCAACTACTACACTGTTAGTCTGGCTTGTTGGACTATATCTGTAGCCACAAAATTATCCGAGCACCCATGTCAATTAGAATCTTAACAAAGTTACTTCCGAGCTTCCCTTAAAAGGCTAGTAAATATCGCGAATAACTCTTTATCAAAATTGTTCGTGTAATAAGTAATTTTGAGCTAGGGATTGGATTATATACCTCAATTTAGATTTCACCTGATTTAATGACCATCTTGGCTTTGGCTTTCTTTGGGTAGGGACATTCTCTCAAAATGTGTTTTGCTTCACCGCAGTTGAAGCATATATTGTTTCCCATACTACTAGCAGACTTATTCTTCTTGTCAATGGGTTTGTCCCTCTTTGCTTGATTCCCCCATGTACTTACTTACTGGCCACTGGATTTACCTCTTTAAAACTCTGAGGACTCATTTTTAGATAAACTCTTCTTGAACTTCCCTTTGCCATATGTCCCTTTTGGTTTTGCTCCTTTGCTAAATATGGACCCTAACCCCGTCCTTTCACATGTTATCATTGAAAGTTGCATTCAATGCTTCTTTGTAGTTGGTCAGGTTCCAATGCATCATATCACCTCAAGCCCATGTTTGTAAATCTAATATGAAAGCATGGAATGCATCCATATCACCCATGTCTATTGAGCAACTAGTAGTCTATACACATACACATAAATTTATTTTTCTTTTTCACAAATAACACATACAAGCTTACATTTGGTATTAGATAGGTCTCAGATTCAACTCCGTTGGTTGGCTAAGGGAATCACACCACATATTGATTGATATCTGGTAGGTCCAATTTGCTCCCAGTTGGGCTCGACCCAAGGGGTAGGATGTCAAGAGAGCGGGGCTCTCGGGAGAGCTGCAACTCTCAACTTCCGTTCACGAGGGTGTGAACTTATAAAGAAGTATGGTGGATTGTAAGCAACTAAAGGGAACGATTCGAAAGACAATCCATAAAGGTTCAAATATAAAGAAAAAGGGCCCATGAACAAGAGTGCACCCCTTTTTTCAATCGGTTAAAGGTCTTGGGATATTTGGAGTTAAACATCCTTGGGTTTGAATAGTTCTAGGTTGGATGACCTCTTGGGAAGTCCAAATTCATGAACTTATAGGGATAAACCATTACCTTGGCACCCTTGACTAGCTTGATTTTATGTTCTATCGATCATGCAAGGGGTAACCCCGTTGGTAACTCCTCTTATATGGTATCTCGAAAATGGTTTGACACCTACTAGATCACTAAAGGTACTTTTTTTATTCCCGTTTTTTTGTCACTCCTCACTGAGAGCAAGCACAAAAATGTTACCCTAGTTCCTTTAGTGAATTGTCCTCTCATAGACACTATGTTCAAACAGGAGTCTTTAACCTTACTATAACACATGTAATCATGGGATGAGATTTGGATATATTGTCACCGTGGATCTTTAGAATTTCAGGGGATAAATGGGGATAAAATAGCCACTAAAGGCTCTCTCATCAAGCAATTACCTCTTTTTCAATTAGCTTAAGAGGAGAGAAATAAGGTGCGCTACACTTACATTGCCCTACTTTTAGATTCTGAGCCTCCCTAGATTGTTCTCCTTGGGCATTTGTCAATACAACCAAGTTCCTACCTTATCTATGTAGGGCTACCACAAACCAATTTAACCAATCCATCCCGAAAATCACCTCAAATCCCACAACGTCTAACCTAGTGAAATCTATGTTTATTTTCCCTATCCTTACTTTAACTTTTACTTATCGAAGTACTTTATCGGTGCTTTGGTTACTTTGAATAAACTTTATAGTTCTTAGTTCACCCAGCCATTATATTGTTAATCCAGCTCGGACTATGTTTGTAGCCACAAAATTATCTAAAACACCTATATTAATAAGGATATTAACAAAGTTATTTTTGAATTTCCCTCGAAAGGCTAGTAGATGTTGCAAATGACTCTTTACCAAAGTTACTTGTGTTATGAATAATTTTGAGCTAGGGACTAGATCATATACGTTACTTTAAATTTCACCTGACTTAATAACTATATTAACTTTGGCTTTCTTCGAGATATTCTCTTGAAAAGTATCCCACTTCACTGCACTTAAAGTATATGTTATTTCTCACACTATTAGTAAATTTAACCCTTTTATCAGTGGGCTTGTCCTTTTTCACTTGACTCCCTTACGAATGTGTCTCAATGATGGACTTCTTTGATAATAAATATTTCCTTTTTACAACATTAATTTATTATATCACAACATAAAAAATTTATCGCCTAAAAGATATATCTAACCTTTTTATCCCAACAAACAAAAAATCTTGTATCATGATTGTGAAATGCTGTGCTAGTAACATATGCCCAATGCATGTATCTTAACAAATATTTGATACAATACCAGGCACAAAATCATCTAGTGGAATTTAATTCTATCTGCAACAGTGCAAAACAATAGTCTCCATGATGCAAAAGATTTGCTTGCCAAATTGCCATATCAAACGTTGCTGTATTGGAACACAATGATTGCTGCAACTTGGGCATCTTTCTGAAATAATGAAAATGTTTGACGAATGTGGGTGGACAACAGTGTTGACTGCTCACTTCCACCAGGCCAATCAAACGAAGCTCTCCCATAAAAATCAATGACGTAGTACCAGACGAGATATGCTTTGTGCTCGTGTTGCTCGCTTGTAGCCACGCGGCAATGTACTTCCAGTCGATGATGATGGCGGATTTTACAATCCAGTCCTCGAAGTAAAACTACTGCTGCGTTCTAGACATGCTTTCGCGATCCTGGCATTTGAGCGAGGCTAGAGATCTCATCAAAGCCATGCCTTTCAAGGCGGATGCCTCGGACTGGAGGTGCTTGCTAGGAGCTAGCAGGTCGCCGAGAACGATTCAGCCCAAGTAGACGTTCCTCAGCAGGACGTACCCGACTGAGCTCGCGGCCTCAATCTCGAGAACCAACTGTGACGCTCGAGCAGCTCCACGATCCATGACTTTGCTCTCCCGGCACGCTTGGAGGAAGCTCGTCCACACGGACGCGTCCGGGACGAAAGGCATGCTCGCGATGAGCTCCTCCGAGTCTCGCAACCGGCCGGACCGAGCGAGCGCGTCCACCATGCAGCTGTAGTGCTGCTTGGTCCCTCGCAGCCCAAAGTCACCGATCATCGAAACGAGGCAGCATCGCCCATCCTCGGCTTTTCCTCGACGACTGCAAGCGATCAAGGCCGAGACGAAGCACACCTCGTCCACCATATCCAGCAGCTTCATCTCTCCAAACACGTCGATGGCTTCGCGGTAGCGGCCATTGTGAGCGTTGGCCGCAAGAACAGCGGCCCAGGCCACCATTTCTCGATCTGGCAGAGTCTCAAAGATGAGGTTGGCGCTGCCGGGATCACAGTTGTGAGCGTAAGCCGTGAGCATTGCGTTCCAGGAGACGCTGTCCCGCTCGGGCATGTTGGAAAAAAGGAGCCTGGCTTCGGTGACATGCCCGTTCTGAGCATACGCCGATAGCATCGAGTTGGAGCACACAAGATCGTGCTCCGGGAGAGCATCAAACATTCTCTTCGCGTCATGCAATCGTCCAGCGCGAGAGAATGCGGCCATCATGGCGGTAGAGAGCACAAGATCATGCTCGGGAATGGACTGGAACACCCCCGCGGCTTCTTCAAGTTGGTGGAGCTTTGCTCCTGGGATTTGGGAATAGGCTGTGAGAATCGTGGTCGCCGAGACGATGTTCCTCTCGGGCATTCGATAGAACAGCTCCCCGGCTTCGTGTAGGCGATTGCTGTCGACGTAGCCCGAGAGGAGAGCGTTCCATGAGATTAGATCCCTCTGCCGCATTCGATCGAACAAGAGCTTGCTATCGTCCACTCGGCCGTTTTGTCCGAACAGTCCCAACATCGAGTTCGACACCACCAGATTCCACTCGGGCATGGACTCGTAGAGTGACAGAGCTTCTCTCAGAGATCCCCTGTTTACAAGAGCGCTCACCATGGCTGCCCATGCAAAGAGATTTCTTTGTGGCATACCATCGAACAGTAGCTTTGCGTCCTCCAAATGCCCATTTTGGGCATAAGCTCCGATCATAGCCACGGTGGTGACAAGATTGTGCTGATCCATCCGATCAAACACAGCCTTTGCTTCCTCTAGTTTTCCATTTCTTGCAAATGCTCCCAGAATTGCCGTGAACGTCACCACATTCCACTCCGGCATTCGATCAAACAACTCTACGGAATGTCGGGTTTGGGCAAGTACTGCTAGCATGGCGTTCCACGTTACCAAGTTTCGCTGTGGCAGCAAATCGAAAAACTCTTTAGCCTCGGTAACGCGACCATTTTGAGCGTAGGCTGTTAGCATGGCATTGATGACCACCTGATCCCACTCAGGCATCCGGTCATACACATCCTGAGCTTTATCAAGATGCCCATGTCGGGCATATGCAGCGAGCATGGCAGTCCAGGCCACAACGTTCCGGTCGGGCATGGAATCGAAGAGAGCTTTGGCGCGAACAAGATCTCCGTGCCGCGAGTACGCAGAGAGCATCAGCACCCATGAGCAGCAATCCGCGCCGCCGCTGCCCACGATCGTGTCGAAAGCCTCCCGGGCGTGGTCGAGGCTGCCACACGCAATGTAAGTCTCGATCACCTTGTTGGCGATGAAGGCGCTGGAGCGAAGGAGCTCCGGCGAGACAATGGCGCGGAGCTCCTTGGCACTCTTGCAAGATTCCATGAGCGCCAGATCCATGGCGCAAAAGTCTACATTTTCGAGCTAAGTCAAGCTTAGTCCTTGAGGAAGAAGCCAATGTGGAAACGTGTCGGATCCCGACAAACGCTGTAAGAGATCTCAAAATACAATTGTTCGACTACAATTGAAAGAAAAGTTCTAGTCCTCTTTCTCGATTGCCGAGCTATGGATGAGGTCACGGCACTGTGATTGCGCACGGCGACAAACCAAGACACCTCTCTCTAGAGTATGGCTCCAAAACGCTCGCTCGCCATAGCTTTCGATCAATCCAAACGAGAGTTTGTTATGAGGCACAGGAACAAGCTCCGTCACGAGAGGAGGAGATTTGTACAAGAAAAGAGCTAAAACGACACTAGACATTGATGGTCGAGGCTGCCCAGCTCGTCCCTTTTCCAAAGCTGCTCGATCCCCGCGGCGAGTACTTCTTGGCCAATTGATCCACCTTGAAGGTCGCACCGCAAATCTGGCCCTTGCTGTCCACGCGGGGCATCGGCTTCATCTCGTTGAGGGGGTGCTCGTAGCTGTTCAAGCCCACCACGCTCGCGAAGAAACATCCTGGAGTTTTGGCTGATCAGATCATCGCTCTCTAGAGAAAATCGTGCAAACCTTGCGGGAAGGGAGCGAACGATTGACCGCAGCCTTCCTTGAGAAGCGTCGCATTGTCCGAGAAGCAGAGCGATCCATCGGCGGCAGTGCCCCAGAAGAACGGGACCTTGCCATGGGAATCCTGATCAAGGCGAAAGAAAGGGGGAGTTCTTAGCTCGAGGATCGATCGATCGAGGGAGAAATTGCTTACGCTGGCAGTGAAGACTCCTCGGGCCTCACGATCATACAAGACAAAGGCGAACTGGCCACGCAAATCTCGCACGACTTGGTGCGCCGGATATGGTTCTCTGTCGCGCAGAGCCCTGTAGGCTTCGATCACGAACAGCACCTCGCTGATCGATTTGGGGAGGCCATACGCTTGGCGCAGCGTGGGGAGATTCTCCAGCATGCCCTCGAAGAGGCAGAAGATGTTATCCACAGCCGCGAAGCTCCTGTAGCATGGTTAGAAGCTAAGCTTCCAAGAACACCGGAAGAACTTACCTGGGCCTCAGGAGAGCTTGCTGCGAGTGAGAATAGATCATCTTGCAATTCTTGTCTGCTTGGATCTGGACGGCCTGAGGGAACGCCCTGACGAATCCCTCCGCGAGCTCCACCGCGCTGCTGCCATTGGAGCTGTCCTTCGGATTAAGCTCCTGTGGAGCTTCCGCCACGGATTTGTGAAACACTGCCAACATGATTACCGCTCGATCGAATCCCTTTCCCTGATCGCCTGCGATTTGCCCACGCAAATCACGAGAAGTTTACTCCCACGCACCCCTCGGATCACCAAAACCTTGCGTGGCTATGGCGACCGCACAAACGCACGAAGATTCCCTCTCTCCCCAAAGCTCTGGAGCCCTCTTTTAAAAGCGGGAAGATTCGGCCAGAGATTCTTACCAGGCTTTACCTTCACATCTCTTGATAAAGTTTATAGTGGAAGTTACCAAGGCATTTTCTCTGTTCCGGTTGCCTCTTACCGGCAGCTGGATGCCCTAAACTGGCATTTGGGGGTGGGTGGCAGGGCCAGTGGAGAGAGGGACCACGGCGGCCAGCAGCCAGGCGGCCGGCGAGGAGAAGCCGTGCCGGGATCGATTCTCGTTGTGGTTACGGCCGCATTGCCTTGACCTTATCCAGCATGATTGTACATAAGGTGAAACGTGATGTTGACAAAAAATTTCAGTGTCACGATCTCGATCCAAATGTGGGACCCAGGGATAAAAAAATCTCTTCCTTTGCTTGTTCTAGCTACGTCCAACCATCGCTATAGTGTTGGGTGATCAACTATCTCGCTAACAAGCCACTGCTTTCACTGAGAGTTGAACTCAGGACCTCCCGCTTACTAAACGGGTGCTCTGACCAACTGAGCTATGAAAGCTTATCGAGATGGCCTTTGCTGGCAGGTCGAGAGCTCAAAGCTCAATTATGCCGAGAATGGGCAATCCACCAATGCAAGGTTTTTGTTTGAAACCATGCCTATTTGCAACATTTTCTCCTGGTCTGTGATCCTCAAGTCTTACTCGGGATCCGGGCAGATTGAGCAGGCTAAGCAATTGCTCGACGCAATGCCCGAATGGAATGTGCTTATCTGGAACACGATGGTTGTAGGATAAGCCCAAACCGGGAATGTTTCGCGGGCAAGGCCACAATTTGACGAGATGCCCCAAAGAAATCTCGTCTGCTGGACTTTCGATGATAACTCTCCTTCGCGGAGTCGACGCTCCAGGCAATGCCAGAATATGCGCTGGTGACGTGGAATTCCATGCCCCAGGTGTATGCCCAAACGGCTGCTGACGGAAGTTTTTGACGGAACGCCCGAAGTAAAAGTGATCACATGCAGCACAATGCTGACGGTATATGCCCGTGCCGGGCATTTGGATCCATGTTCCAGTCAATGCCGGAGCAAAACGAGGTGTCCTGACGCGATATGCCGAGAATCTTGAGGTGTCAAATACTGTTTGACGAGATTCCAGAGCCAAACATCGTGACTTGGACGATCATTCCGGGCATCTCCGAGATGCCGAGAGAACGTTCAAGCACGTCCCTTGGCACGATGCAGTCGCGCTAAACGCAATGCTTCAGGCTTACGTCCTCAAAGGGAGAGACGACATGGTTTGACAAAATGGGATTTGCTTCGAGCGGGCATTTGCATTTGCACGATGCCACGGAGGGCCTTCCTCGACCCTGCTACAGGCTTTTGCAGATCAGATTCGCGAGAAAAACCTTAGATTTTATGCCGGTTCCGATCCGCGGATTGCCTGCTGCTCTTATGATACTGTCCAGCATGAGCACCGACGAGGACATTCACGCCTATCGAGATCTCCGACGCGCCTGCCTCCACGTCTAGACATCCAGCGGCCACACGCTGGGAGCTGCTGCGGGCGATACCCTCGCAGCCCATCTCGTCGGCATGGCGATCGAGGCGGCGCCTTCTAGACCCAAGAGCCCTAAAACCTATCTAGGGCTACAGCTGTTTCGTTGGCGCGGCGGCGGAAAAGAAGCGCTTCGAGGATCTGGGAGCTCCGATCGGCTGCAATGGCGGCGCGCCATCAGGCAGTGGTGCCATCGCGATCATCGTCGGGTGACGACAGCCTGTGGGCACGGGTGAGCAACAAGGTCGTGCAATCGTCGCTGTACCACAAGTCGAAGCGCGCATTGTCCAGCGCCTCGTACGCCAGCAAGAAGCTCATGTTTAGCACCGGCAAGGCCGCCTGGATCGCGGGGACGACGCTGCTGGTTTTCGTGGTGCCGCTCATCATCGAGGTGGACAAGGAGCAGCAGCTCGCGGAGCTCGAGTCGCAACAGGCAACGCTGCTCGGTGGCGCTCCCCAGCAGCCCGGACCACCGTGAATGAGGCACGTAAGTTCTTCGTTCCCTTGTTCTTGTTCTTCTCTCGAGGATGATCTCTGGAGCTTTGCTCGTTCCTTGTTCTTCTCGAGGATGACCATTTGATCTTTGCTTTCTTCCACAGGAAATGCGAGAGAGTTTTCAGTTTTCGCTGTAAAGAAAAGGAGAGAAAGTGACTTGGCAAAGGTTTGTAGTGGCGCAGGTCTTCCCGAGGCATAGTAGAAGTCTAGAGCATTCGAGGTGTAGTTTTTCCCTGTGCTTTTCTCTTACAGCTCTTCCGAGTGATTGATTCAGTGTGCGGACTCCGCTTTTCCTGCGGGGTGGTCCTTTCCTTTTGACAAGTTCAACGCAATAGTGTAAATCTCTAGTGGCCGGCAGCAGCAATCGCATCTCCAAAACATGCGAAGTTCTTCCTGCCGTTTGCGCAACTTGCCTGGTAGGCTGGTACACCAATATTCCCAATTTGCTCCTTCGGGCCGGAAAAGTATGGAAAAGTACCACACCCAGAGAACAATAAGAGTGATGGACCAAACGAGCAGAAGAGAAAGCAAGAGATTCCAAAGAACCATTATACCTTGGAAATAGCATCTCGTTTAGCAGCCGTTGGATCCCTCATGGCTCAAGTCGGGATTAGGTCAAAAGGCCAAGGCTAAAAACATAACGCCCGACGGCATTAATTACGCCCCTAGGCGGTGACGTGCCGGAGAAGACCGACACGTGTCGCCTGTGCCGACGCGGCGGCCTGCTATTTGCGGCGCATGATCACGAGCGCGGCGGGCCAATCACAGGCCGCCGACGTCCGGGCCTCGTACGGAGAGAGGTTAGGTCTGTACGGCCCGGTAGTCCCTGCCAGGCTGGCACATATTCCGGGCAATTCCCAGCCGCCATCGCCAAAGGGGGGTTTCCAAAGAGTTGGACATGGCTCCCTATATAACTACCTCGCCCTGTCGCCCAGTGCTATCGTCAGTGATTGGGAATTTTTCTTTTGTGCGTGAGTGGCTTCTTCTTCTTCCTCTCCTCTGGGATACATTCCCATAGTGGGTGATTCTTTGGGCGATTCTTTCTCCGCTTCTTTTGATTCGTGGCTATGGAGGAGAAGAGGGCGAGGGATGGGGACGAGGAAGATGAAGATCCCCGGGAGTGTCTCAAGAAGCTGTGTAGAGGGCTGGGGATCGTGGAGGAGGAGCACCATGGCCTCGCGTTGGATGAAGAGGGCAACCGCGAGGTGGCGCTGGAGGAATCCAGCCTCGCGCGCGAGGAGCTCCTCTCGGGCGTGATCAAGAGCCTGGAGGAGGAGATCAATCTCTCGTCTGGGTCGTCGTCGCCGGCGCCGGTGGAGCAGCAGCAAGAGGAATCCTGCCAGGAGATCTTCGCGACGAGCAGCCGGCTGAGCTATCTCCTGGAGGCGTCGGACGACGAGCTGGGCATCGCGAGCCCGGCGCTGTCGGAGGCGGATCTCTCGTGCTCGTTGAGCGAGCAGCAGATCCGCGCCAACACCGCGCTGGATCTGCTCGAGGGCGAGGTGATCAGCCTGGGCTTCCCCGAGTTTGAGGAGGAGTGGATCCGCAGGGCCGTCGCGACCATGGAGATGGTGATGGAGTCTTCTTCAGTGGAGTTGGATGGCTCTTCCACGGTCGCGGGGATTGAGTCGCCATGTCAGCCACTCCTGGTCGAATCGTCGGGCTCGTTGTGATCTCTCGCTTCCTCGCAAAGAAGAGGAATTGGATCGGCCCTTGTGAATAGTAGGAAATTTTTTTACTTTGCTTTGTATTGACTTTTAACTCCGGCACTGACAATAGAATGCATCAATCAAAGATGAGGTGGAGTGGAGAGTGGATCATCAAACAGGTCACACTCTCTCTCTAGCTGGAAGAGATTTTTTACTCCAAATGTCCTGTCGTACAATTGGCCAATCCTGTCGTACGATTACTTGTGTGGTGGAAATTGATTAGCGGTTATGCGTTCTCAACTTTACTTGGCGCATTGAGGGAGCGCCAAGATCGAGTTATGGAGACGCGACGATCTGGAGGATTTTCATTAGAGAGCTATCACTATCACTCACCATAGAAACGAGAGAGATCAAATCTGGGCGTTCACGACACGGAAAAGTTGGAGAGTCTCGCGGGAAGGAAACTCTCGATTTTCGTCGCTTTGACTGGGAATCTGGAAATCCTCGCCCCGCCTGAGGTACAAACACGCGTAAGTCAGTAAAACGGAGAGAAAAAAGAGTAAAAGATGAAATCGAGGATTCACTCACACTGTAAGATTCGCTGGATTGATTCGCCTGTGAGTAAGGTGGCCCACGCATGCTGCATTGGAAGACGGCGCGACGAGACGAGCGATTTTGGGTCCTTGTTGCCGCCCGCCCGAAACACCTGCGAGATGGAAAACGCAGTGATGACAACTACAAACGACGAGGAAGACTAGAAAAAAGAGATTAGAAAACTTAGATGGGAATGGGAATCGAATACCTCGTGGGAAGAAGCTACACATGGTGCTTGGCCCAAGTCGCACGCCTTGGAGCCTCCATGGAAAGTGCGTGCGTCGTCCACCACCAACACCAACGCTCCCTTCCCTGGAATGAGAAAAATGCCGAGAAAAATGCGCTGCGTCCCCCGGACTATCCATTTGTCAAATCCTGTCACCCCGCCTCCTGCAAGCTTTGCTGCTCTTCTGCCTGTTCCACCAACCAGTCGGCCCGTTTTGCGTGGGTGCTGGCCAATGAAAGTCCAAAATCCCGGTGCGTATCAATCCTGTGTGCCTCTGTCTCTGTCCCTTTCTCTGGCCCCGTGGCGATCATTCTGTCTCGTGAAAGGCGGGCGGGCGGGCGGGCGGAGCCAAAGGTTTGCAGTCCAGACACGCACTCTGCATGGGCGCATCCTGCACAAAAGCCGTTCGAGAGAGCGTCAAATCTCTAAGTTTGCATGAAGTCTTACCTCCCGGGGAAAGCTTTGGACATGTTGAACAAGCAATTACATTCCCAGGCAGCGTACGCGCTGTCGTTACGCAACATTTTCGTGGCTCGTTGTCACCCGCTCCATCCATTCTGTTGAGCCGAGGGACCAGACAACGGGCTTACTTCCAGATTCCTAGCCTTTGCCACTTTCCGGACGCTGCCAAACAGGAGCACTAGATAAGCCTCTGCTGCGTCGCTGTCGATGACCAGGGACTTACTGAAAATTCTTCATCGAGCTGTCACGGTCCGGAAGCAACCTGGTTTCCGGCATCAAATCGGGTACCGCCTGTGAAGAAGATTCGAAGAACAGAAACGTGGTCACGCTTGTTGTACGTTTCTGGTTTCCTGGCCAGCCTGGTTCACCAGCTTGCGCAGCCCGTAGTCCCTCAACTTCTGAGAATTCAGCTTCTTGATGGCGGACAGGTACTGAGCAGCACCAGACGGCATCTGATCTTTGTTGGTCTTGGTTATCGGTTTTGACCCTTCTTTGCGCTTCAAGACTTCGAGAGCTTCTGCTTGGACCTCTTCAAAACAAATATTTATGCGTCAGTAACTACTAAGAAGCAAATAAAGAAATCACGCAGACCGGATGTTCCTCTCGCGGCACTAACTGCGAATTCTCGCTCCGTGATTGCTTGAGGCCAGTCCTCAACGCATGTCATGTGTTTCATGGCCATCTCGTAAGCCTTTGAAAAGATCGAAACAGTCAGGGACAAGGAAAGCTAGCTAATAAATAGAGTCCCTTACTTTCACAGCGTTGGAGAAGAAAAAACTCCTCGAGCAGGCCCTCGCAAAGTCCATCCATTCTTCCGCAGATACAACCAGCTCTGGATATTCCACGCAAAAGGTCTCTCGCAGTATCAAGGTCTCGTAACGAAGAACAAATTGTTCCTTTCACACGAACAAATTTTCGGCTTTAGATATGAAAATCAAAGAAGCTACCTCAATGTCACAGGCTAGATCGAAGCAGCATTGGAGGAAGTCGAGCAGCTCCAGCTTCTCTTCGATAGGGATCTGCGCGGCGGATCTCAAGCAGGCGCTGGAAGCCTCTCGGAGCATTTCTTTCACGGTGGAATCGAGACCAGGGTCCAGCATGACGCGCAGCTTCTGAAACGCAAGATCATACCTGCGAATCCAGACGCTGCATTGGCTCCCGCAAGAGCGATCAAGACCTTACCTCCTCGACATTACGAGCGACGCGAACCTTTGCATCTCCATCGCAAGCAAGCGCCTTGAATCCGCCATTGCCGCCAAGAAACAAGAACTAGGGTTTATACCCCATCAAAATATTTCTTCTTCGTTTTAAAATCCCTCTCCCAATTCTCTCGCGCGCTTGGGAATGGAATCTCATCGTCAAGGAACGAACTCGATCTCTCCTCTCTGCAATCCCTTGAACACATTCAATCCGCCCACGGCGCCAGCGCTGAAGCTCCCATCGATCACGAGGCTATGGCCGCTGATATACTTCGAATCATCGCTGGCCAGGAAAAGCGCGGCCTTGGCCACGTCCTCGGGCGCCAGCATCTTCCTCAAATCCTCGCAATTCTCAGAGCCAGGGCAGGATTTCTCATCCCGGATCTCGAGATGCCTGAGATGCCGCCCCACAGAGCACAGCAAATCCGTCAAGACCCCATTGGGTGTGATGCAATTCACGCGGATGCCATAGTGGGCGAGCTCCAGCGCGCACGTCTTGACGAGCCCTAGAATGGCGTGCTTGGTGATGGTGTAGGGGTGGAGCGCGAGGCCGGCCACCATAGCCGAGACGCTGGCGGTGCACAGAATCGACCCCTGGACGTGCTGCTCAATCATGACGCGCGACGCGTGCTTGATCCCCAGCGCCGCCCCTCTCACGTTCACAGCGTAGAGGAAATCCAGCTCGGCCGCCTCCATGGAGGAGATCGACGGTGATGGATGCCGCCCATTGAGCACGCCGGCGTTGTTGTGCATCACATCCAGCCGTCCAAACTCGGACACCGCGGTGCGTACCGCGCGGACTATGTCGGCCTCGCTGCCCACGTCGCAGTGCACGTAGCGGCATACCGCCGGGCCGCCGACCTCAGCCTCGAGCCGGGCGCCCGACTCGTCGTCAATGTCGGCGATGACCAGCCTTGCGCCGTTGGATGCGAAGAGCCGCGCCGTGGCGGCGCCGATGCCGTTGGCTCCGCCGGTGATCACCGCGACCTTGTCCCGGAGGAGCTCTTGCCTGGAAGAAAGAAATAAAATCGCTCCAGCATGCATTCCTGGCCTGATTCACCTGGTGTGCTGTTGTTGGTCGTGATTGATTTTCGTGGAGAAGAAGAAGCGCCCTCCTCTTTTGGATTGCTGCCTAATTCACAGGGATTGGATTCAGATAGATGGTTGCGTACTTTTGTTCCAATCCAAGTACCTCAAGAGCCTCCTCCCAGACAATATCATACTCGCGTCTTCACTCCAATTCGTATCGCTCCTCTCCAGAGAAGAGAGCTGTGGTCACTCGCGCTTATTGCTCGATCGCTGCGAGATATCTGTCGACTAAAAACCCGAATCACTCCAAAGTCTGTTGCTGCTGCTAGCGCTGCCGCGGCTGTAAGAGCGGCCATTATCAAAGCTCTCGCGACATGCTCCCCATTAATACGAGAAGTAGAAGAAGAAAGACTAGTAAAAGAAAAGGAGATGGAAAGACACAAAAGGGCTCTCTGTTCCTCGACGATAGAGACTCGGAGCTCTCTCTCAGGCTTAACAAAATGCCTGACACACAGCCCGACAAGGACCGAGAGAAAAGCCCACAAAACTCGAGAGCTTTGCTTGGATCGAGAAGGAAAACTTCGCGCAAATCATGCCCGACAAAGCCTCTCTTCCAAGCTCGCTCACGCTTTCGGCGTCCTTGTGTGTGTCTGATGCGCATAAGTCTTCGTTTTCCTGCCGCACTGTTTTGCCAGACGTGTGTAAGTTGACAGTGCATTAGAACTAAAACAATCGGATTCATGGACATCAAATGCTCGGCTTTGCTACAATCAAATCGAAAGCCATGGACGATAACTCTTGTACAACACAACCAAATCAAAAGCTTCTAGAGAGTTAAAAGGTGGTACAACTTTCGTCAAAAGAAGCTCGACCCTTTCACCACCATGTAGAAACCCTGGTTCATCACAAAGTCCGTGATCTTCTGGTAGAACTTCTCCGTGAAATGAACTCCATCCCAGTTCATGTGCTTCGACAGGGATTTGCACACCGTGGAGGTGCTGCAGCCGCATCCGGGCTTGCTCGCGTCGCAGTTGTAAGTCCCCGACCCCGACCCACAGCACGCCTGCAGCTTGCTGGCCGGATCAAAGCCGTAGTCCTCCGGGCTCTTGTACATGGTCAGCGCCGCCGCGAACACATCCCCATACACGATGTTCTCACCGGCATCGATCCCCTCGAGCATCGCCATCAGCGCCTTGTTGAATTCCATGCTCACCTTGCTGATCTCCTCGAGGCAGCCGAATCCATCGTACTTGGGACTGGATCCCACACTTTGCTGCAGGTAGAGCGGCAGGCACCCCTGCGGCGGGAGATTCATCACCAGGAAGCTCTTGATCCCCTCCTTGGCGAGACGGTTGATCCCGTCCTCGATGGAGCCGATCACGTCGGGGATCTTGGCCACGATGGCGCTCGGAGAGGAGCCGCCGATGATCATGTAGTTGATGTCGTTGCCGCCGATGAGTATGATCGCGACGCCGGATTCCACCGTGCCAGTCGAGGGGAAGTGCGAGGTGGCGTGCGAGGAGGAGCAGTCCTTCTTGAAGTTGACGAAGCTGTCGATCTGGTGATCCAGGCTGATGCCGCTGGGGAGCGTTGGGCTCGCGAAGTCCTCGTTCGCGGTGGCGCCGGCGATGGCGAAGTTGACGCCCTTGGTATAGTCTAGATTCTTGTTGCTCCCGTCGTCGTAGGGTGGCAAGAACTGCGTGCCAAAGTTGTCCATGGCGAAATCTAGCCATAGCCTCCCGTCGGAGAACCTCCCCGTGGCCTTTTTGAAGTACGTCATGCCATACGGGAGCTTCACCACCCCGCCCGACATGCTCTGCAAGTTTCCCGTGTCGGACAGCGAATCTCCAAACGCCATGAAGTATTTGGCGGCGTAAGTGGTCTGAACGCAAAGGATCAGCGACAAAAAAACCAAGATCTTCCACTCCATTGCCACTGCTTGCTCAAACCCCAAGGATTACTATCAAGTTTATTTTTAGTGTTTTACAGAAGTAACACGATCTCTTTGAACGGCTGTGATTTGCCAGAAATATTCTATTTTCTCGTCTTATTTATAACTTTGTGATTTAAAGGTAAACACAATGCTTTGAACTATGTTTTAAAGTTGAGGTTTTGGCCAAGAAAGGGGAGCCCCCCGTCGTCACAGGAACCTCTTGAGATAGGAGCTTGCGCTCATGTAATCGATGTGAGGGTAAAGGTGGGACGCGCTCACGTCGTCACTGATGTCGAAGTTGGAGCACTCACCCTTGTAGAAGACGTGATAGAAGATGGAGAGCGCCTCGTTTTTCGGTGACGGTGGTCCTGGAAAGAGCGCTCGCGATTAAACAAAAGAGAGAACGACAACAACACGTCAAACCCACCTTGAAGATCTCTGAGAAAGTCCTCCTCGGGAATGTGACACTTTACCAGCGTCACACCGCTCATCTCCTCCCACATTTCGACGACTTCCTTCTGCGACAGGACGTTGGCTGGAGGGCGAATGTAGATCGTCTTGTTTACCGCCCTGGGATCGTCCACAGTGCTCAACGCGTATCGCCCAACATCCGCTTCCACGACCCAGACCACTGCCGAAAGAAGAAGAAAAGAGAGAGCTCAGTCTAAAAGCACTGCAAGCCATGAATGCATTTGGCAGACCTTTGGCTGTCCCGTCTCCATAGATGAAAGCTTTCTCCTTGGGAGGCATGAACTGAGCGAACTGCGCGAGTGAAGACAAGAAGTAACCAGCGAAACAGTTTGCCGACACGAAAGTATGGGGGATCCCGGCTGCCTCCACTGCACGCCTCACCTCTCGCTTCGACTCAAAGACGTGGTTTCCCGGCTTGAGAGCGTGATGCATCCGGTCGGGATCCATTCCAAACTCCGAAGGTAAAAATCTCTGCGGCACGCACCAAACTTCAGATGGATACCAATAAATTGGCACGGACCTTTATGTTCCCCGCCTGCTTGATGGCCTCCACCAGCTTGAGTTGAGAGAGCAGCCGATTCTCTGCCATCGCCGAGACCACCACGTCTACTTGCTTCAGAGCGGCCAACAAACTGTCGTTGTCATCAAGAGATCCCTGCTAGCCAGAGAGAAACGAACAGTCAGAAAAGAAAAATTGCAAGCCAACTGTTTACCTCCAAGAGCTTGGCCCCCTGTGCCTTGAATCCTAATACTATTTCCACCCGCGTTATGTCGTGAACAACGTCCGGCCGCACGAGGAGGTACGTTGGGTGATTTAAATCCAGCGAAGCTTGAGCCATGAGCCTGCCGATGTATCCTGTGCATCCAACAACTAGAACTCGACTCTTAATTGGCTCCATACCGACGCTTCTCAGCTAAAATCTATCTATCTATATGGTCTTTTGATCACAGGAAATGGACGAGCTATAAAAAAGGCCCCAGCACGACCAAACGAGCAGACAAACAAGAAGGCAGACAATGTGAAGAAAAAGAAAAAGTAGAAACATGACTATTATGCACGCAAGTTTCTAGTAGAACCTTCTCTTTGTTCAAAGTTTCTACTTAGTCCTTCGAAGCTTCTACTTTAGTTCTTCGAAGAACTTCTTTGATCTTCTCGTTGCTCACAACTTTCTTGGAACTTCTTTGATCTTCTATGGCGGATTGTCACTTCGAGCGAGTGAGAATTGGAAGAGTTTGCTCGACGATCGAAACATATTGGTCAGCAGCACATTATACATACGGAGTGCTTTCCTCCTGAGCACCAGTTTCGTCACTCGAGCTCCCCCATCTTGGTGTGTCCCCGGAAAGCTCCCAGCAACCCCAGCTCTCGGGCATCGCTCTGCATGGCCGAGACGAGCACCTCGGCCTCGATCAAGTACCTAGCCCGTGCGGAAAATCCACCACGCAGCAAAATTGCTGCTTGAGAGGAACCAACTTCCAGTCTCTCGTCATAGCAAGGCCGGATCGAAGCTTTCCTGCGCCAGGAGAATCCAAACGAAGCCTGCTTCTCCTGGAGTTTGAGTGAGAACCATGGGGTGGAAGAGCTCCAGCGTCGAGTCCGTCTGGCCATTGTAAGCATACGTCTCAAGCATCGTGTTCTAGGCCACAGCCACTGCAGTCACTGTGTCAAGGCCATAGTCCAGGCCATCTGCGGCATCTCCTCAAAGACCGACTTTGCACGCTTGATTGCCCAGTCTGGGTATAAGCGGCCAGTAGCGACGTCCACGATACTACATTGGCGCCGGGCATGGAGGGAAAGACCGCTTGGCCTCCTCGACATGCCCGCGCCGAGCATACGTCGCCGAGAGCAACGCAACCATGTCCCTACTTGGCATGTCCTCGAAGAAAAGCCTGGCTTCCTCCACACACCCGCCCCGGGCCTACGTTGATGTTCATCATGTTCCACGAGCAAGGTGATACTGTCAAACACGATTCGTGCCTGCTGGACGTTTCCCTGCTTGCTGTAGTGCTGGAGCAATTGGAATGCCATTCTTAAGAACCTGAGAGCGCGAAGTATGTCGAGCTGGGAAGAGCAAGTTTCCATCCAGAGCTCGGACCATCTGAAACAAAGAGTGAATCCAGTAAATCCAGAAACCAAAACCACCTCGCTTTTCGTTTTCTTTTCTTCTGCTGCTACATTGTAGACAACATGGAAGATATAGGATCAGTTAGGAAAACCAAACTTCCCCGGGGATAAAAGAGCCGCGCCATCGTGGTACGTATACTTACAAAATGATAACCGAGAGCCTACCTATGAACAAGACAGCGATGGTAAGCACTAAATAATTTACTCTGTTGCAGCGGCAGCTCGGGCCGTGAGCAAAGGTTGGAGCGCTTTCACCACGATGCCCATGTTTGGCCTAAAGTCCGCCTCGTATTGCACGCACAGAGCGGCAACAGCGGCCATCTATGCAAGAAGAACGCAGTTGGAAGAACAGAAAAAAAAAAAGAAAAGAACTTACCTTGGCAGCTGCTTTTACAGGATACTCTCCTTTCAGCATTGGATCCACACATTGCTCGACTTTGTCTTCGCTAAGTCTGGGTGTGGCCTGTGATCGGATCAAACAACACGTTGAAGTACCAGATACCGCCACTGAGCTTGTCAGCCTACTTACCCACGTTAAAAGGCTCTGCTGTTCACGAGGCTTTGAGTGATCCACTGGCTTTCTCCCAGTGAGGAGCTCCAACAAAACCACGCCAAAGCTATAGACATCGCTCTTTTGTGTGAGCTGACCTGTCATAGCATATCTAAGCCAAAAAGCGTTAGACTGAGGCTTGGAAGTTATAACCGCTTACTCTGGAGCGTGGTAGCCGAAAGCTCCAAGTACACGAGTCGAGTGAAGCCTTGCGGCCGTGTCCGGTGCTTTATTGGAGAGATTGAAGTCGGCTATCTTTGCTGTGCAGTCGTCGAACAGGAGAACGTTACTGGACTTGATGTTACGGTGAATTAGTGGTGGAGAGACTTTTTCATGCAAATATTTGAGCCCCTTCGCAGCCCCTACTACGATCTTCACACGCTGGGTCCAATCCAACACCGGACCAGGCAAAGCACCTTTAACACCTTTTCTCCCTGGTGGGACATGACTCGTAAGATTCGAACATCTTGAAAAGGCTCAAAACGTACCATGGAGTATGTCATGCAAGGAGCCCATCGTTGCAAACTCATACGCCAAAACACGGAGTGGTCCGTCAACACAGTATCCAATAAGCTCAACAACGTTCTCATTCTTTAATCTCGATACCATGGAAATCTGAAGCACCACACGAATGAATAAAAAAGTAGAACGCTTGAAAAGCATACCTCAGCAAGAAACTCCTGATCAGGCTGTGAATTCTTGTCGAGCTTCTTTATCGCAGCTTGACCACTTCGCAACTCCGCAAGGTAAACTCGGCCATAGGATTCCTCACCGATGAGTGACTTGGGACCAAAATTCTCGGTGGCTTCTTTTAGCTCGTCAATACGAAGCATTGGAACAGCAATCGGTTGGACTCTGGCAGCTTGTCCAGCTCTATTTGCTCCTTCATTTGCTTTAGCAGCACCAGGGTTGCCTGAAAACCAAGCAAAGAACAATTATTTTCACACAGGAAAGGATGAAGAACTTACCATTTCTCACAGTAGTGAACGGAGTATAACGCTCCCGACTGGCTGTGTGCCGTCTCCCAAGACAATCGCCTCGTGCTCGCTCTGATGCGGCACAAGAAGAGAAAGCGCATCCCATTGCTTCGCTAGACCTTGCCCCAGGTCAAAATATTTACCCTACACCTGGAAGAATCGTATCGATGTTAAGACGCCAGCTTTGACCGTGGTCAACGTGAGGCGGGTATTAGAGAAATGATTGCATTGGAATCTTCATATTAGTGGTGTTGATGAGGTGTTTGAGGACTATATGAACTACAAGCTCTGAATAAGAATTAACAGGATGCAAGAGGCATGGCATAATTACTATGATATGTGGGTGTGTCAAACCACTTAAGGTTGGATATGATAATGTTTTATACAAAGCTAGATTGACTCAAAATTTTAACTTTTTCTGGTGTAATTATTTGGTATGGTTAACCAATTTAGAAAATGCAAAGGCTTTAATAACTAGTCTTTGATGGTGGAATTAACTTAAGAAACCTTGTGTTGTGAACAAGAAACCATTAGTGTCTATTATAAATGAGTTTAAAGCTGTTTTTCATCTATATTTTTTTACAAACTCCTTCCTCTTTTTTTTTATGTCATCTTGAGTTCATGTTTAAGGGCTCACTCAAATTCCAAACATGATTGAATGCTTGGAACTTGAATTCAATAGGAGCATGACTCTCTACTGTTGTGCATTTAGCTCCACCACCATACCCAACTCCATTGCCACTCTATCCATAGCCACACTTGGATCCATTGCTCATCACACTTAACTTAATGATCTAACCAAGTGCCCATAAATGTAAATGATATGTATTTATGTATATTCATATACAAAACACTTTAACCTAACTAAAAATTAAATGTAAATCTAAATTACATAAAACATGGGTATAAATAGGAGGTCTATTTATGTCTTTTGTTCTTAGAGTTGCTTATATCTTACACTTGTTCTTATAGGACATTTTTAGGTGGTGATTATGTTTTTTTCATTTTGATCAATTCTAGCATGCAATTGCTAGCTGTAATCCATAAATTTTCTGTTACTAATTTGTTAGTTTACCTCTTTTATCCTAGCTATAGTTAAGTTCTTTTGCCAAGGTCTTTTTTTATTATATTATCTCCTTAGTCTTATTTAACTTCAACTACTCACTGCAAAAATAATGAAGTGTTAGCCTTCTCTTTATAGATTTTTAGACTCTCTATTTCCCAATTTCTTTTCTTGGAATAGACTAAACTTAAAATTTGGGTATGCTCCCTACAAGCATAAATAACCAAACACTAAACCTTTAGGATTTTAACATCCTTTGGTATAACAAAACTGTAAGCAATTAAAGAGAACAATTCAAAAAATGATCTATAATGTATTAAATATAAAAAAATGCCCTTCTTTTTTCAATTGGTTAAGGGTCTTGAGATATTTGGGGTTAAATGTCCTTAATGTAACTTCTTAGAAAGTTTAAATTTAAAAGTTTACAAAAGTTTATAAATGGTATAAGAAATGTCATGAGTTTTAACTTCTATTTATGAAAGTGTAAAGTTGCAAGAAAGTTCTAAAATACAAATCCTAAAGCCCTAAAAATGGAGCCGAAAGGGTGCCACATGGTAGTGGCCGAAGCGAAAGCCAAACAAGAGTAACACGTTTGGACTAAAAACTTTGATTTGAAAAGTTGAAAGTGGGAATGGAACTCTTAACGAAATGCTTAAGGAATGAGCATGAAGTAAATAATAAGTGAGTCTTTAGAAAAGGGACACAAAAAGACCAACACATAACACGTGGAAGTGTCGAGATGAAGTTTGAGATGGACTTAAGATGGAGTCCGAAATAGAGTTCAAGATGGACTTAAGATAGAGTCCGAGATGGACATGAGATGGAGTCTGAGATGGACATAAGATGGAGTCTGAGATGGACATAAGATAGAATAAAGTCTAAAATGGAGTCAAGATGAAGTTCGAGATGGAGTCCAAAATGGAATTGAGACTAAGACTGAGACTGAGTCCGAATTTGAATACTAATACAAACTATTGGGTGATAGTCCAAAACAATCAGGAGGGAGGGTCAAAAGTATAATAAAGACAATGTGGGGGTTGGACTCTAGTGGAATTATTTTGGGCAAGAAAGGCCAGTATAGCCTAGAAAGGCTATACCCATATATTAGGTGATGATATAACCACTAGAAAGTCCCCACATATTAAGTGATGATATAACCACTAGAAAGTCCAAGGCTAAAGTGAATATGGATAAACAAGTGAGGTAGTTTAGTGAAGTGTTCAAGAGCCAGATTTATCTCCCCCAGGAGATCGAATGGTTGATATTCTCAATTTAAGTGTGGTTGATATTCCTAATGTAGCTTATTGGAACTTTGCTCTAGCTACCTGTAAGATCCTTGAATTTATTGGAACTTTGCTCTAGCCATCTGTAAGATCCTTGAATTTGGATTTCCCAAGAGGTCACCCACCCAGTATTATTCAAACCCAAGGACGCTTAACTCCAAATATCCCAAAACCCTTAACTGATTGGAAAAAGGGGTGCACTCTTGTTCATGGGCTCTTTCCTTTTATATTTGAACCCCATAGATCATCTCTTAAGTCGTTCTTTTTGGTTGCTTACAATCCACCATGCTCTCTTGACACCCTACCCCTCGGGTCGAACCCACCCTCGGGTCGAGCCCAGTGGGAGTAAATTGGACCAGCCAGATGTCAATTAACATATGGTGTGATTCCCTAGCCAACCAACAGAGTTAGACTTGAGACCGCTTTGATACCAACTGTAAGATCCTTGAATTTGGACTTCCCGGGAGGTCATCTAACCCAGTACTATTCAAACCCAAGGACATTTAACTCCAAATATCCCAAGACCCTTAACCGATTGGAAAAAGGAGTGCACTTTTGTTCATTGGCCCTTTCCCTCTATATTTGAACCCCATGGATCATTTCTCAAGTCGTTCTCTTTGGTTGTTTACACCACCTAGCTAGGGCACCCAAATGTGGATGGTGAGAAGAGTACTCATGAGGCTCGTGTAGGGCTATAATGTTTTGAAATGTCGTCCTAAAGTCCTAGATTGTGGAAAGGAAGAGGAGCAATCCACTTATGTAGTGACTAAAGATGCAGTTATATAGCAAGGAAATCCTGGAGGTCATTAGGATATAATGGTCGGGCCTGTGGGCCTTGACTTAGTGGCAATGTTGATGAACACAGCTGTGGATAAAAAAGGATTTGGTGGGGATTGAAAAAGGGATATTAAGGAAGGTTATTCCCCATATCTGCAGGCATTCTAAGGATGTTAAGGAGTAAATCTGGGATGATCACTCATGGATGGATAACAAAGTCTTTAAAAGATGGGATTGTGATGCAAGTAATGTTGGACTATCAGTATGACAAAGGTGAATGAGCATGGCTTTAACATAACAAGCTAATATGTCAATGGTACCTTTGGGTGTCAGTCATAAGATTGAACATGTGGAGCACTTGGACCAAGTGCAAAGGTTGAGTAGCATAAATGTCATTTTCGAGGCTAGCAAGTCCTTAAGTCCAGAATAAGATTTATGAAGGTTGAGGGTGAAATTCTTATATGTGGTCGAAATTGTGGTCAAATGACTAAAGTATAATGGAAAAATTAATCATTTACAAAAGTGAGTTACAACTTTTACCTTCCATTTGCAAGGATGTTCACAACAATTTCCATTGACAAGGGTATGAATTTACAAGAAAGTGAGTTATAATTTTTCCCTTCCATATGCGAAAGTGTTTATGAGGGTGTGGACTTATAGTGAAGTGTGGCAAATTGTAAACACCCACCCATAACTACTAATCCTCAGTTCTAACTAATTTAGGGTTGGGACCTAAGGCAAAAAATTCTTTCAAGACTAAGTCTTTTTCCTCATTCTCCTTATTTAAACGTGTTTTAGGATTTGATCACGTGATATGTATTCTCCTTATTTAGACATGTTTTAGGCTTTGACCACATGGTATATATTAGTATTTAGACTTACACTTGAGAGTATAAGAGAGCAAATTCATCATAGCTGAGGTACTTTGGAATAGGCAAGATCAAAATATAATTAATGAACTCCCATTTGGTTAAGAATGATTATAACTCTTTTTTAATTAAATCTATTAATTGAATCACCTATTTATTTGTAGAAATTGGATAGATCCCTAAGGCAACAGCCAACCACAATACTTTTGATTGTTCATCCACAATATAATCCTCAATTGAGATATAAGGTAGGTGAGAGATAAAACTAGTTATTTCCATACAATGTTTAGCTTTTCTTTTTGCAAACAATGTGTCCTAAACAATGATCTTTCTATCATCGAAATCAAACAAAAGATTCTACTGCCAATTGCATGCTTTGATAAATAGTGTGTGAATAAACCATGCTTACATATAAGCCACTTCAATATAATACCAGATTGATTATTGGCCTAGGAAATGCCACCTAATGTTCTTTAAAAAAGTTACTTTAAAACTATGAAGAATCTTCTCCCTCTTTATATTTATAATTTTACTTTTTGAATGCCATACCATGTACCATGCGCCAACACTTATGCCCCCCACCCACCCCTCACCCCCATACTCAAACAGGGGATTTGTCGCCCAGGCACCACACATTGCATCGCCAGGCATTTGGATTGTAATGGCAAAACAATGCAGGGTTTCACATTATAGTACACAAACCAGGCACGAACAGTGGAAGCTATTGTGCTGGCGAGAGACATTTCTCTAGTGCAATTACGGAGAAAGGCAAAACCCTTGTGCCGAGATCTCTTTGTAGATCACTCGGCCTTCTGACGCAATGAACAATCATCAATTCCCTGTTCTATCGTGGAGCATTATCTCGCCGAACTTACCGTCTAGACAAGAGGGTGCCTGTTTCACGCAAGTATAATCAGTAGAGACTGCTGTTTGAGAGAAATTACGTCATTTTCTCGTTACCTCAGATTCATCAATCATCCGGCTCTAAACTACAGTTTTCATCTGTTGAGCTCAGCGGGTAGCGGTCGGTTGAATCCTCCTGCAAGCAAGGAGCGGCGATAAATTCACAGGAAATCGAGAAACCATAAATAAAAATAAAAAAACAATGCCCACCTCTTCTGTTCATGTACTGCCGCGGCTGGCGCTTGGAAGCCAGCTTCACCGCACTCTGGTTTGCATCAGGCACGCATTTTCCCTGCAAGGAAGAAAACAAAAGAAAAGTTTTAGACCTCGACCAGACAGAATAAATGAACCAACCTTGGTGGAGTCGAAGTTGAGAGGAATGCCAAAGCTCTTCATCATGTCTTCTTCGTCCGCTAGAGGCTCCAAAGCCACGGGCTGTGGTGGCTGCTCCTGCGGCTTCTCTGTGGCGCTGGGCTTCACCTGTGCCTCTTTCTTTCGTTTTCCATCGTGCTTTTCGGGTGTCACGGACTTGGACCGTGCCCTCTTCCTGTAATCCCTGTGATTCCTGTCAACGGGCTCCCTATCCCGGCGATCCCTGTCCCAGTCCCGATTATCTCTGTCGCGCTCGCGATAATCCTTGTCACGCTCGCGATCGCGCTCGCGTTCGCGGCCTCGGTCTCGATCTCTTTCGCGCTCCCTGGCATTTCTGTAGCTGTGACCGCCGCCGCTCTTGTTATCCTTCTCTTTACTATGGTGATACTCACCGTCGCGGGGGTGCCGCTTCCTCTCTTCCCGCTCCCCCATCTCCTCCAAGCCCTAAACCCTAACCTGGTAATGAGAGATCTGACCGTTAAATTCTAACGGATTAAGCTGTAAAACCAATGTTTATTTATAATCGCCTCTCTCGTGGTAAACAATTTCTTTTCTTTCCCACTCGAGCTGCTAAGAATGAATGTACAAATCTGCATGCCACAAGAAATGTTGGAAGAGCTGAGAAATCTCCAAGAAAAAAAAGAATTCCTCCAAGAGTAGGAAAAAATAAAGCTTTCACCTACAAACTCGTGCTCTGCTGCAAAAACTCTTCTCGCGCTCTCTCCGGTGGTCACAACAAGAGAAGATCTTTCGTGTCCTCCGAGTTGAGCCTGGATGCTAGAACGTTCGACCTTTGGAGCCGGAACTTTGGCTCCCGGTCTTGACTTCCCTGCCCGACTGAAGGACTAGAAACAGCAACTTGGTACCTCTTGCACGAGCTCGAGAGTGATCCTTTGTAGGAGAAGGCCAAGTTCACAGCTTTGCCGCGGTTGTCCAGGCCAACCGCCGGGCCTCCACCTTCCATGAAATCGTCCGGCAAAACGTTCATAAACTTGAGATTGATTTCCATGCTTCCTTTCGGTGGTATCATCCCTGAAGCGGGCGTAACCTGGAAGAACAGAAAAGCTTTCATAAACACACTCGGAGAAGTGTGTTACCTGTAACCAAGGTGGGAGCCCGAATCCAGCTCTAACCGTTACTCGAGCCGCTGCGCTTACAGTGGCTTCTGCTGGATCGCCTTCGCAGCGCAGCTCAAAGACTACGCACTGCCTGCTGCTCTCGTTGATTGCTTTGAGAATAGAAGGCACGCCGTCCTCGAGGATGATCTTGTTAGTGCTGACAACCGTCTCCGGTACAGAGTTGAGCTGATCCATCCACTTCTGGACGTGAGGATTGTTCAACATTAGCTCGCAAAATGCTCTCCTCCTTGCTGCTTCGTTGATCACAGCAATGTCAACGTTAAGTAGACACCTCACAGGTTTGTGGTCACTGTCTAGTGCATCCATACACGAGTCGTAGCTGCGGCCACATCCAACAATGAGTATAAAAACCATATGGAAAGATGAGACGGAGAGACACTAGCTTACGATATTACTGATGCTGACACTGGGTGCGAAAGATTAAATTTCTTCTTGGCTTCTGTCCCATCGTAGCTATCTCTAAAAATTACACGATCACACCAAGCTGGTATCCGTTTCTTCTCACTTGAATCATAGCCTGGAGCGGAACAAAGACATCAACCTAAAGTCACCAATAGAACGAGGCTTACCGAGAGGGTTACTGTATCCCTTGTCAAACTTGTAAGTTGGCTGGAATCGTAGGGGGCCCTCTCGCATTCCCTGGAAAACTCTTCCACCGGTCATCTCTATACGTAGTTGATCCTTTGGAAGTAAAACTTCCCATTGTCTGGACGATATCAAGTCTATTGCGTCTTCATACGCAAGATCATCTATCCTGTAGTTGAAGTCTCCAACCCAAACAATCATGTCCGCATCCGCTAGATCGGGCATCACTGCTTCTATGACGGTTTCCGACTCCTGGAAGCCACACAGCTTTCAGTTTCCATCTTTAAACCAAAAACAAATCACGAATCCTTACCACTACCTCCTTTCCCACTTCCTGTCCGTCAGGAGACGCAGTTTTACGCACGGTTGCCCCACGGAATGCTGTAGAGAGCGCATTTGGATTGACACAATTGCTCCACAATGTTAGCTAGATCCCAAGATGAGGACCTATTGGATTCAGTCAAACAGAACTCCAATAAGGTTTAGGTAAGACATGCAAGCAGCTCGGTAAAATTATAAACGACTTAAGCAAGTACCTGATCCACCGGAAGAACGACCAAATTTCATCTGATGGTAAATGTGCTCAAAATCCGCGTTTCGTCGACCAACGGCATCCATGTGTGCAGCCAAGTGACTGCTTAAAAAACAAAAAGTTCTTCTGTAAAGGAGGATTTTAACTCCTACTCCTCCCTAAACAAGACAAGCGTTTGAGAAAAATGCCACAAAAGTTGAAACACTCACTTTGTTACCAAGAGCACGGCCAAACCCACAGGGAACAGCTGCAGCATCGATCTCTCCAACAAAAGGAATAAGTTCGTTTCGGACCCTGCCCAAGAAAAATGAAAAGAAAAAAGTTCAGAACAGAACACAAGATAGCACTTGGCGGACTTAGTCATTTACCAGACACCAATAAGAATCCCAGCAAGTTGACGCGAACCAACACGAACAAAGTCCTGGTTCTCACCCAGAGCTGCACCGAGATTATCCAGCCACCATTGTCCATTCGCACTGCTCTTCTCTTGCAATCCTACCTGTAAAGAAACCATGTCGACGCAAATCAACAAGTTTTCTCATACCGTTTCTTTTGCTGCTGCCATGGCAATAGCTCCGGCACTCATCTCGGTCTCCTGCAGTCCTACAAACACAACGCCAGCGTGTGTCGCAGATGCTAGCCACATCTGCATGGATTTCAAGCTCGCCTTCTCCTCTGCTACATTCCAAGTTCCTGCTAGAATTTTAAAAGTTCTTTCTTGCGTGTATGTTTCTGCCTTGGACTGCATCTCGATCTGAAGTATCCCATCAATTGGACAAGGCGATCCGATATTCCAACCGCGAATGCCACCGTGAAGAGCCATTGTGAACACGAAACTCCCACACTTTTCCATATGGACAATAGCGGCACTGTGAGCTATCCACACCCCGAGGACCTTGCCTGTATCTGCAAGCACTTGAATTCGACCGTCCGCATAGCCCACCCAGATTCTAGTGCCCACCGCACACAAGCTGCGAACGGGAACCGGTATGAAGATGGTTGCCTGTAACCTGTTGCCCAGTCCATCCCATTGAATGATCATTCCACTTGGATATCCTCCCCATACTGTTCCATCAACTGCGGCCACCAATGCGTCCACCTTCTTACTATCGTCGCCACCTTGACCACCGCTGGCAGCCCGTCGAACAGCATCAGCAGCTCCAATAACGCGCTGGAAAAAGCTTAACGTACCAGCTTTTTCTTTCTTTGATGCTTTCGACATCGAGGACCTGACATCATCGTCCCACATACTGTCCCGAACAGGAGAAATATCTGGGCTGGAGAATTCGGACTGAACACTCGGCCCAAAAACTTTTAACACGTCCCTTGTTCTCGCATCCCTGCCAGAGAATCTACTCATTAGTCAAAAACCAATAAAAAGTTTCCACAACTTTTTACCATATCGCAAGAGCGAGCGGTCCGCCGCTCCAAACTCTCCCATTCGCGTGCTCCGACAGCAGAAAGTAAACATCCGTATTGGCAAGGCTGGTCGCACCAGCAGCAGTTCCACGGGCTCTGAGGTCCACATAGGAGCGTGCCATCAGTGACGCCGCAGACATAGTTTCTTCTTCTGCCCGGCAAAGAGCATGAGACGTTGTCTCCCATGGCCAAGCTCTGATAGCACCACCGTCAGAGCCAGTCCATAACTCCCCTGACAAGCAAACACAAACTTAGCTCAAGCACAGCTCGTGCACACAAAAATAAGCTCCCTTACCATACGTGGTGATGACCATGGACAACACCGGAGAGCGGTGAGCAATCCAGCACAAGCTCGGCTCCGTTCTTCGCTTGGACCTCACAAGTTCCTCGGTGCTCCAAGCCCTGACTTTGCCATCCCTGTGTCCACTCCACACAAGCTTGTTGGCAGCGTCAGCGACGAGGCATAGAGTCATGCCTTCCACACCCATATACGTGAAAGCCGCGGCATCGATATCGTCGGGAGGATTTCCATCGCCACCACTTCCGTGAGACATGGCATTCGCGACGTCCCAGACTTTGAGAGCGCCATCGCATGCCAGCCACACCGAAGAGCCCGTGCAAGTGAGAGCTCTGGCTGGCTGGTTGGTTCTCATGGGCGATGGTCTTAGATCGAAGGGGACGGGCCTGTCCGGATCCACGGGGCCTCGCAGAGGAGGCTTGTAAACACCTTTGCCACCACCGGCGATGAATTCGCTCGAGCGCTTCACGACTGTGGCTGGCGGCGATGCCTGTGGACTTAGCTTGTTGAGACTCCCGCGCAAGGGGATCACTCCCTCGGAAGCTGACGGCCCATGCAAAGCTCCGGCGTGGGCCTTTGGTGGCGATGACGATGGAACGGCGGGCTTGAGCTCTGGAGTGCTTTGGGAATGTCGGACGTTCTTGGTGGAAGGAGCTTTACTACTGCTGCTGTTGGCAACGGTCTTGTTTGCTGGCGACGATGAGACGGAAGGAGGCGAGTAGCGATCGTTGGTGTTCCTGGCGACGAACGGGCCATCCGAGGGGCTGTCGAATGGATTGGAGGAATTGGAGGAGTTGGATGAGGCTGGGAAGAGAGGAGGGACTCCCGGGATCGTTGTTGGAGGCGTCACTGGAAAATCGCCAGTAAGAAGGTCCGGCTGGGGAGAAGGCGTTTGCTGCTGCTGCGTGAACTTGCGATGCTGCTGGGATGGTTTGTAGGGCGTGGAGAAGGAATCCGATGAGCGGAAGTCCGTGCCGCCATTGCTTGCTGCCGCTCCTCCTCCCGCCCACCCGAAAGGATCCGACATCGACGAACTGGTCGCTGGATCATTGTCATCGCCGAAATCAATCAATGAGGGTAGAGCGCGCTGCCGCTGCTGCTGTTGCTGCTGCTGCTGCTCGCGCCGGCTGGGCGACGCCATAGGCACTGCCGCTCATGAAGAAAAATGCAAGCGCTGGCACTGACCTAGACGATCCCGCGGCAATCGATCCTGGAAACCCTGATCCAACCTAAATCCACACCGATCGATATGCTCCAGATCCTCTCCCAGCGTTAGCGACTTTCTCTGCGATTCTTGCGCTCCGCGCGAGCGATTGGAGCGTTGGAATCTGGGCCTCCGTCGTCTCTCCCACGAAGAACAGCCACGATCCAGGGGTCGTGCCGGAATCCCTCCCCCCTCTCGTGTGAACGTGTGTTTTAAGCCCAAGAGGATATCCCCTGGCACAAATCCCGCCCATATCCTGGCCGTCCATCGCCGCCCTCCGCCGGCCGCCACGTGTCCGCCCGCCTCTAGATCTAGATCTGCCGGTTTTTCTTCCAGCTCCAGCGACTATATATGTTGATCGAGAGTCTCTTATAATTTGAAACACGATTTCGGCGCGAGAATAGAATTTCTCCCGCGGAGCTCGCTGACAAAAGAATCCACCACGCAACGCGATTGAACCTCCCTCTGAAAGGAAAGTTTACACGCAATGTCCGGATCGTACCGCCGACCAAGTGATCGACCGATTGATCGCGAATTTCTTTTGATCGTTGTCACGGAGCTGTTCTCTCTTGTCCAAGAAAAAAAGAGCCCTAGCTATGAAATCTTGGCCTTTGTGTGTGGTGATCCAGATCTCACGGGGTTCCAAACACTTGTCGCGCGGCCACTCCAGCCACATTTTCTTTGACAATGGGAAGATTGGAATCCCACATATCTATCGAGATACCTATGATTGCGGGGGACGCGAATGATGTGTTGGCCCCGCCCAATCCATCACTGTCGTTAGTTCGTCCCTACCAATGGACGAGAACAGGGTTTAGGGTTTATCCCAAGCCCTATCCTGGAGCCCTCCTCCTCCTAGGGCCATGGCCGCGCTTCTGGCCGACGGCATTGCCGCGGCGCGCGTCCTCTCGAGCTGCCTGGATCGCGGCGCCAGGGATCAGAATGTCGCATCGGCGCGATTTGTTTGCAGGAGCGTCAAGAGTCCGCATTTGCTTCACCGGTAGGCGCTGCTTGTGATCGCACTGGCTGATTTTCTGTGGCAGATCGAAGCACCAGCAAGGATTGAAGCGAGCTGCTAGCATTCATGCCACTGCTTCTACTACAGGTACTCTTTGTAGTTTTTAGATGACGCCCGCATGAAAGGATGTGTTCTAGGTTTGATCGCGCCCGAGGAGAGCAAGACGGTGCATAGCTTGCCGCAAGGGGAATCGTGGTCCGTGCACAAATTTGGTGGGACGTGCGTGGGAACTTGCGAGAGGATACAAAATGTGGCTGACATCGTCGTCGCCGATCCATCGCAACGCAAAGTCGTGGTTGTCTCGGCGATGTCCAAGGTCACGGACGTGCTCTATCATCTTGTGGAGGCTGCGGGCTCTCGGAAAGAATCCTACATTGAGTCGCTCAATCTTCTCCTACAAAAGCACAAGGAAACTGCGAGAGCGCTGCTAGTTGAAGGAGCGGACCTGGAGAAGTTTCTAGCCAAGCTTGAAGACGACATTCGGAACCTTCAAGCCATGCTTCGTGCTATATACATTGGTCCGGTTTGTGATCCCTGTGCGTGAATTTTTCCTTCTGACGTGTGTTGTGTGCTTTGGCAGCTGGACATGCTACGGAGTCTTTCACAGATTTTGTTGTCGGACATGGTGAACTATGGTCTGCTCAAATGCTCTGTGCTGCTGTGAATAAGGTACACTTGATTGTGGAGATCACCTCATCTGTTTATCTTTTAACAGAGGGGTCTCTCTGCTGCATGGATGGATGCAAGAGAAGTGCTTGTTGTTACTCCAACCAGTACAAACCAAGTCGATCCCGATTTTGCATCGTCCGAGACGAGGCTATTCGATTGGTATGCACGCAATCCAGCTGACACCATTATAGTGACAGGCTTCATAGCTAACACACCCGACAACGTCCCAACCACGTTGAAACGAGATGGGAGCGATTTTTCTGCCGCCATAATGGGGTCTTTATTCCGTGCGGCCAACGTGACGATTTGGACTGATGTAGATGGGGTTTACAGTGCTGATCCACGAAAAGGTATGGCTAAGACTTTGACGAAAAGAGAAATGGTGTCTTAAAGGCTGAAGATGTCTCCAGTAAGCGAAGCCGTTGTGCTGAGCACCCTGTCTTACCAAGAAGCTTGGGAGATGGTAAGAGCAATCTCCTTTTTGTTGAAGCTCTGACAACACGGTGTTCGCAGTCCTACTTCGGAGCAAACGTGTTACACCCACGAACAACTTTACCTGTGATGAAGTATAACATTCCGATTACAATACGGAATGTCTTCAATCTCTCTGCTTCTGGGACGAAGATATGTCGCACTACTTATGAAAGCACCGATGACGAATTTCGGGCAGCAGATTCAGTGGTCAAAGGTTTTGCAACAGTCGATAACTTGGCACTGGTGAATGTGGAAGGGTAAGAAGCTTTATTAATACCTGCTGGCTACTAGACGTGTGCTTTTGCTTTCAGCACTGGAATGGCTGGTGTGCCCGGAACCGCGAGTGCCATATTTGAAGCGGTCAAGGAGGTTGGCGCAAACGTTGTTATGATCTCTCAGGTTAGCATTTGACTTGTTGGACCTTGTGGTGATACTTCCGTATGACAGGGCAGTAGCGAACATTCCGTCTGCTTTGCGGTTCCAGAAAAAGAAGTGAAGGCAGTGTCTAAAGCTCTCGAGAAAAAGTTCAAAAGGGCCTTGGACGCCGGAAGACTGTCTAAGGTATCTCCTCGTGTTTGACTCTTTCTTTTCTAATTTAATTTTGTTACGTGCTTTCAGATAGAGATCGTGCCGAATTGTAGCATTTTGGCGGCAGTTGGACAGAAAATGGCTAGCACTCCTGGAGTCAGTGCGACATTATTTGACGCCCTTGCGAAAGTAAGAATCTTGAGTTCTTGCTGTCATGTTCCAACCTGTCGACGCAGGCAAATATTAACGTTCGGGCCATCGCTCAAGGTTGTTCGGAATATAATATTACAGTGGTGGTGAATCAAGACAACTCTGCGAAAGCTCTTAAGGCGGCACACTCTCGCTTTTATCTTTCGAGGACTCCTTTGGCCGTGGGCATTGTCGGCCCGGGCCTTATTGGAGGAACACTTCTTGACCAATTGAAGGATCAGGTATGAGTGAATTTCTTTTGAACTTTCGAACTGCTTTTAATATATTTTATTTTCAGGCAGGACCCCTGAAGGAGGATTTTAATATCGATTTGCGGGTGCTAGGTGTTATTGGATCGAAGAAAATGGCCCTTAGTCATTCGTAAGTGCATGGAAAACTTCTGCTGTGTATGAGCTTCCAAATTCTTCTAGGGGCTTGAACCTTTCAAATTGGAGATCTACTTTGAAAGAGGAAGGTGAAGAAGCAGATCTCGAAAAGTTTACAGCACATTTATGTTGCAGTCATCCGATCCCCAATATCGTCGTTGTAGACTGCACAGCAAGTTCTGATGTACCAAATTGGTACTATCCATGGATGCGAAAAGGCATGCATATAGTTACGCCAAACAAGAAGGCTAACTCAGGCTCTCTCGACAAGGTAATCGTCAGTATTTTTTCTGCTCTAATGACCGAGCGTTCATTTTACAGTACTTGCGTTTGAAGGAGCTTCAGAGAAAATCGTACACGCACTATTTTTACGAAGGGACTGTCGGGGCAGGACTGCCAATCCTAAGCACACTGCAGGGGCTACTTGAAACTGGCGATAAAATCCACACAGTCGAAGGAATTTTCAGGTGAGGATTTATTATGCGTGACAGCGTATCTTGTTAACGATTCTAAAACGCAGTGGCACATTGAGCTATATATTCAACAACTTCCATGGTCAAAAGACATTCAGTGAAATTGTCAAGGAGGCAAAGGCTGCGGGCTACACAGAGCCTGATCCCCGTGACGATCTCTCTGGGATGGATGTTGCAAGAAAGGTAAGTTGTCCCTTTGATTGATAGAGATCATAAAAGTTTTTCGCCTGTTCAGGTTATTATTCTAGCTCGGGAATGTGGCTTGAAGCTGGAGTTGGATGATATATGCCTGGAAAACCTCGTTCCAGAGCCTCTGCGAGTAAGTTAACTCGGTGCCTTTCCTCAACACACATGATCGGCATCTTTTTTCCAGGGATGTGAAAATGTGGATGAGTTTATGGACAAGCTTCCCGAGTACGATCAGGCGATTGCAGCTAGGAGAGAGCAAGCTGAAGAATCAGACGAGGTTTTCCATTCTCTGCTTTGTTTCCAGACTAAAACCGGTCGTTTTTTCTTCTATCACACCAGGTGCTGTGTTACGTGGGTGTAGTCGACGTACTCGCGAGCCAAGGCCGAGTTGAGCTGCGGAGATATCCAAAGTCACACGCATTCGCGCAGCTCTCCGGGAGCGACAACATAATCGCCTTCACGACTGCGAGATACAAAAAGCAGCCATTGATCGTGAGAGGACCCGGAGCTGGGGCCGAAGTCACAGCTGCGGGCGTTTTTAGCGACATTCTCAGGCTCGCATCCTACTTGGGAGCACCTTCCTAGACAATCTCGAGCACCAAAAGCTAGAGAAAGAAGAACAACGAGGTATGACATTTTGAGAAGAAAGATCTATGTTTTATTGATCTCTGGCTTTCTACGTTTCCTTTCAGCTAGAAGAACCTGTGAAGCTCATTCCATAAGTCGTTCCAGCCATCAATAAAACAGTGGTCATTTGCGAGACGACGCGAGCTCTCATCCAGTACTGGCTGTGCTTGACGTTGCCCTTTTTGAAGCTCCACAGGCCACTCGCGAGAATTGCCGCTGTAGCGAAGCACCCTGTTCTTCGTGAAATTAGAAATGTCCGCCCCAGAGGATGGCGCAAATGCGCGAAGAGATGGAGCGTACCTATGGGTACCAAAATGCTGCGCGGCCTTTTGTTCGCAAACAAATCTTGCGTCGCGTCCGAGTCGGTCCAATCGCTCTCGTTCTTGTTCACAACCTCCCCCATCCCGAAAAACCCTAAAACTCGACGAAGTAGAGAATATTCTTTAGCGCTGCCACGTGTTGGTGAAAGCTGTCCACGTGTCACAATGAATCTCCTCCACGTGTCACCAATTTCAAGAGTTTAGGGTTCTATGCGAAAAACTCGAGAGAGAGGCCTGTGCACAGCTAGGGATCGCATTTTTGGGGTGGATTCGAGCTCTCAGGGAGGTAAATACGATAGAAGTAGCGCCAGGAAGCAGCTCGATCAGGCGGTAGCAAGGCTCGAATCGGAGAGATCTGCGGCTAGCCGCGACAGCTACGAGCAGCTCTTGAGGCAATGCGGCAGCTGCAAATCCCTGGTCCATGGGAGGCGTGTCCACTCCCACATTGCCAGTGTGGGGAAATCCCTTCTCGGCCCTTGTCTCCAGAACGCGCTGGTCCAAATGTATGGCAAATGCCGCAGCATGAAGGAGGCGCTCGCGGTTTTTTCCACCATAGCCAGGAAGAACACGTACTCGTACAACATTCTCATCTCCGCGGCTGCCAGGAACGGCCTCTACAGAGAAGCTCTCAACGCATTCGAGCGCATGAAAAGAGAAGGGATTCCTCGCGACAAGTTCACGTACGCGGATGTGATCACCGCCTGCTGCTCCCTCAAGGATCTGGCTAGAGGCCGAGCTGTTCACGCTGGACTCCTCGTCTCCGGCATCCAGCCGGATGATTTCCTCCGCGTGGCTTTGCTCAACATGTACGCCAAGCTCGGGAGCTTGGGCGAGGCCACCCGGATCTTCCACTCCATGCCGACGGACAACGTCGTCGCCTGGAACGTGATGATCGCGGCATTCTCACAGAGCGATCGGCCATCCCTGGCGCTCGAGTTCTACTGGAAGATGCTTGCCGGGGGCACAAGGCCGGACTTTTGCACGCTCATCAGCACCCTGAGCGCCGTGTCATGCTTGAGGCTTCTCTCGCATGGCCGCGCGATCCACGACTCGATCCAGGCGCACGGCTATTGCTCGGACGTGATCCTGGACACCGCGCTCGTCGACATGTATGGAAAGTGTGGCAGCCTCGACGACGCGAGGATGGTTTTCGACAAGATGCCCGAGAGAGACATCGTCACCTGGAATGCGATGATCGCAGCTTACTCCCAGCACGGCCAAGGGGACAAAGCTTTCGAGCTCTACGCGGAGATGGAGCCGCAGGGATTCAAGCCGGAGCTCGTCACACTCGTCAACCTCCTCACCGCGAGCTGCTGCTTGGGCGATTTGAGCCGGGGGAAAGCAATGCATTCCCGGATAATCGACGACAAGCTGGAGCTCACGCTCGTTGCCGAGAACGCCATCGTCAACATGTACGCCAAGTGTGGGAGCCTCGCGCAGGCGAAGCTCGCGTTCGATGGGATGATCCACCCGAGGGACGTGATCAGCTGGAACGCGATCATAGCTGGGAATGCCGAGAACGGTGGCACCGAGACCTCGCTCCAGCTCGCCAAGGACATGGTTCTCGACGGCGTGGCGCCCGACGCGACGACTTTCACCTGCGTGCTGCTGTGCTGCAGCCATGGAGGGCGGCTGGAGCAAGGTAGGAGCTACTTCCTCTCCATGGTTTCGGATTTCCAGCTCTCACCATCGTCTGCGCATTACCAGAGCCTGATCGATCTGCTGGGACGGGCCGGGCGGCTCGAGGAAGCGGAGGAGCTTATGAGCGTGATGCCATACCAGCCAGGAGTTGCGGGAGTGCGAGCTTACCTGGGGGCCTGCCGGACGCACTTTGACGAGGAGAGAGGATCGTCTGCTGGAGAGCTCGCCTGGGAGATGTACCCCGACGATCCCTCCAGCTACGTCCTCACGTCAAACATCGTTCGCAATACCGCGGTATGATCCTCTCAAAGATCTTTCTTTTCTTTTTTGATGGAAGTCTTTGCCTCAATCCTGGCAGAAGAAAAACTCTGGATATCATCTCGAGAGCTCTTCCTGGTGGCGATGAAAGTGGTCATCGACTATGGCATCAAGTAGCGGTTCCACAAGCCCTCCGGAATCGCTATCTAGCAAAGCGCCCATTGCCACAGACTTGTGGGGAGCCGTGTCATACATCTCCTTGGCATGCGTTGCCCAGCCATGGCTAACCAGAGCTCCTATCCAAACAACGTACGCCGCATTCCCGTGGAGAGGCATCAGCCGAAACGCTTCGCTCGCTTCGTCCACAAGTCCATTGCGAGCGTAGCCACGCAGCAGCACTGTCCACAAGATCGAGTTTCGCTCACGGTTGCTGTCAAAGACCATCTTTGCCTGTTCCATGGCGCCCGCCTTCGCATAAGTATCAACCATAGCCGCCAACTTTGCAGTAGCGTGTGCCCGCGGTATGTTTTCCAGGACGCTAGTGTCCCACTCGGGCATCTTGGCGAAAACGTTTCGAGCATCTTCGTCCTGCCCGGCTCTCGCCAGAGCCGCGAGGATCGTGTTCCAGGACACTACATCCCTCTTCCCTTCCATCCTCTCGAAGCAATCCATGGCTTCCGGGACGCGGCCACACTTGGAGTAGCAACTCAGGAGCGCGTTCCACGCGACAGTGTCGACTTCTCGCGAGGGGATCCGATCGAACGCCGCCTTTGCATCCTCGGGCTTGCACTGCTCCGCATAGCTTCCAATCATAGCTAATCCCTCTTCCTTGGTGTTCTTGAGCGAAATATTTACGCCAGAGCCATAGAGAATTTTACTTACCAGATTCATTAGTTTATTCATGTAGATTCTTGCAACTTGCCTCGCCGCCCTGAGGTACGATCACGCTCAAACGACCTGGATTAATAGCAGTACGATCACGATTGCAATGAACGGCCTGGATTGATCGTAAGCGACTGACGGTGTAGATCAATTTCAATTCATCTTTCTCCTGCGCGGAGCCAAATTTCCTTTCTTTCTTCTACCGCCATGGAAGTTGTGATCGAATTTGGGAAGCACAAGGGCCAGAAGCTTGGAGAAATTCCTCTTGGCTATCTTCGCTGGGTATCGACTAAAATGGCGAACGAGAAGATCGGGAAGATCGCAATGGAAGCTCCCCGGCAGCGGCAGATCTCGACCCCATCGCGGGTGCCAGTAGAGCAACAATCGCCAGCGCCAGGTGATCTCTTGATCTCGATCCCAGGTGATCAAGATCATGAAATCCAGCTGCGCCGCGGGCGTCATGTCCAAGAACGCACAGGGGTCGTCGAATTCGCGAGCGTGGATCTGTGCGTCTCTGCACTGCGAGGCTTCAGCGGCGGGATCGTCGAAGCCCGGGTTCTGGAGGAGCGCGTCATCTCCAGCGCTAGAGTGTTCGCAGCAAATCGCCGCTACTTGTCCAACCTCCTGCTGCTCGCCTATGGCAAATGCGGCGGGGGCGTGAGCGACGCAGTCCGGATCTTCACGGCGATGAGCAGCAAGGATCACTACTCGTGGAACACCATGCTCAAGGTCTTTCTCGACAACCATCTCTGGCTGGAAGCGGAGAGGCTCTTCAACGAGATGGCACCTGGAGTGGCCAACTGCATCGCTTGCACCGCGATGATCTCTCTGTATTCTTCGCAGGGGAGAGTGGCGGACGCTTGCGCAGCCTTCGATCGCATTCTTTCGCCGGACACGACTGCATGGAACGCCTTGATGGCGTGCTTCATGAGGAACGAGGTCTCCACTGATGCCCTCACTGCGTGTTTCGAGCGAATTCCCCACAAGGATCAAGTATCATGGAACCTTCTCCTTGCAGGGCTGGGGAGAGCTGGGCATCTCGCATTCCAGAAGATGCCCGTGTGGGATTTGGTTGCCCTCAACACTTTGGTCGAGAAGAGGGGAGCTGCCGGCGAGAGGGCGAGAGAAGAATCGTGTGATCTGCGTGCCAGCGAGAAGGACATCGTCTCCTGGGCTCTCCTCCTGCGCGAGTATGCCCACAATGGGCAGCTCGAGGAGCTCGGCACCTGCTTTTTCAAGATGCCGTGCCACAACGAGGTGGTGGCAACGCTGGTGCCATCCGCCTTTGGCAAGCAGGGATACGTGGAAGCGGCAAAGGCCGTGTTTGATCGAGTGCAGGGCTTTGGATCGTGGACCGCGCTCGTCACGGCAAATTCCCACGCTGGAGAGCTTGGCGAGGCGGAAAAGGTTTTCTACCTCATGCCAATGTGGGGCATAGAATCGTCTACTGCGATTATGTCCGTGTATGCAAGAAACGATGTGGTGGACAAGTGCGACTGGGTGTTTTCCGATCTCATGCAACACCGTGACGCCACCACCTGGACCGTGCTCATTGCCGCATATGCTCACTCAGGATATTATGTCTGCGCGCGTTCCGTTTTGGAGAGGATGCCGATGGCGGAGCTCACGAGCTGGAATGCAATGCTCAACTCGGAAAGAGAGGATCATCTAATGGAACTGTTCAACGAAATGCCGGAGCGCGACATAAACTCCTGGACTCTCATGGTGTCTGCATTTGCCAAGCGCAGGGACATGTCTACTGCGCTGAAGCTTCTGGATCTGTGCCCGGCGTGGGCAGCCAGCGTCTGGAACGCGGTGATTTCTGGATATGGACGCCATGCTTGCGTTGAAGAGGCAGTGGGGACGTTTTTCAAGATGCTACTTGACGGTGTGGAGCCCGATTCCGTCACCTTCGTCTGTCTGTTGGGAGCGATGAGCTTTGCTGGAGATCTGGAGAAGGTGAGGGCATGGTTCCTGGTTCTGCGGGACTTTGATATTGAAGAGGAGAGGAGGCACTACTACTGTGTGATTGGTGCGCTTGCTCGAGCAGGCAGGGTGAGCGAAGCTGAAGAACTCCAGGAAGCCATGCCCTTCACTGCCGATACGGGCACCATGTTTGCTCTACTAAATGCGAGCAAGCTCGAGGGTGACCGTAAGGGTGCTTCGAAGGCAGCTCGGAAAGTGATGAGCCTGAAGTCAAGTAACACTGAAGTTGTCATGGCCAACATCTTGCTCAGTCACGCCAACAAAGGGCGCGTGACGTTCAGTTTTCGTGCTGGATGATTAGGAGAGGCACTAAAAATTCTGATAAGTTGAGTATATGATGCAAATTTTGCGTGGTTGAGAGTGTCGGGAGTCAAAATTTTGCGAGGGTCCAGAGTCAAAAATGATGCTGCTGTGAAACTTGGGTTGCCACTCTTGGCTGTCTATTCCCTGCTGAGAATTGAGATGCTGATACCAATCTCACTTTCGAAAGCTGTTGCAAAAATTGTGCAGCTTCGACCTGGCTGTGTCTTTGTGAAGAATGGAGCTAATCTGGAGTTAGGAGCTGGTTTCAAGCTACAAAATGCTATCTCGGCTGTCAGGAAAGTCGTGGAAAAATTCGTTAAATGAGGCTGAGAACCTCGCCAACTTCGTAGAATATTATCCCGCATTACTAAAATGTTGCATACAACTTCTTGGAATAAGAAAAATAAAGAGATCAGTCGTATTTCCACCGGATGACGAGTTGCAAGACGTAAGTTCCGTCCTTGCGATTTGCAAGCACTTGTCGAGCTTCTGCTGATGGCACCACTGGGATTCTTCTCAGGGAGTACAGGGAGATAGCTAGAACGCACTGCCTCTGACCAAGAACGCGAGAACCATGATCTACCTCTTAACCCACTGAAATCCCTTGCGAGCCTTTGCTCGTCCCGGCTTCTTTCTCTCCACGATTCTTGGATCCCTGGTAAGATAGCCACCTGCGATTGCCAGAAAGATCAAAACAATCGCAACTCAAAGCAAAAGATTTTTACCTCGTCGTAGGGGAAGCCGGAGAGACGGATCAAAAAGCTGGATTGCTCGGCTGATGCCATGCCTCACAGCCCCTGCCTGCCCTGAATTCCAAGAAGAGAAGCAAATCAGTTCTTGCGAAGAATGTGACACGAAGAAACCAAGAGAAAATCCAGACCTGAGAGACCACCACCTCTCACGAGTGCTTTCACGTCAAACTTTCCCAGCGTGTTCGTCACGCAGAATGGCTCCAGTATGTGGACGCGATGATCCAGCTGCCTGAAGTAGAGATCGTGGCTCATCTTGTTCACCATGATGTTGCCACTCCCCTCCGAGAGCCACACACTGGCCTGGCTCGTCTTCCTCCCGCCTCGAGCATACGATCGCCCTTGATCGTCCACCACTCTCACTCTCGAGTCGGCCAACTTCTTGAGTCTCTGCATCTCAGCCACTCGCCGCTTCTCCTTGAGGCGCATCTTGATCTCGTCCGGTGACAGCTCCTCCAGGATCGGTCGCTGCTCGTCGGGGAAATCCTCCGACTTGAACCAGCTGCTTAGCTCCGCGTCGGTCAGAGACAAAGCCCCAAAGAGCTCTCCAAATGTGGGCTCTTTCTTCCCTGCACGATTGCATCCACTATCGATAAGAAATTCGATTAAGACGAACAAAAGAGAAATTCGACTCCCCAGAAGAAAGAAGAACGCGAACCCTTTCTAGGCTAGGAGACTCACCTCGCTTGGATTCCTGGGCCCTCCGGATGGTGTCCGTCTTGACATCCTGGATGATATCATCCAGCATCTCAATCTGGGCGTCGCGCTCCTCTTTCCCAGCATTGGCATCACTAGGCCGATCGCAGAAGTGCCGACATCCGGAGGAAAGCCGCCAGCGTCCATGCCTCCTCAGTGCCAGTCGCAGCATTAAACCCTAGAGTTGCCTCAACAATGTAAGCATCTATTAGTCGAGGTAAAAGAGCCCGAAAGCTCGTGCACAACCTCGCTTTTTGTAAATGCCTGTAGAGCAAGTAGAATCGGTTAAAGTTTTCTTTTTTCCTGCCAAAATTCCTGATTTTGTGAAAGTCTTGCGGAAGAACCCTTAAAAAGTTGACAAACGATGGGGTTAGAGCTTGCAAAATTATCCACCTTTAGAAAGGAAATGATTCGCCATCGAAGGCGAGCAAAACGTCGACCTTCTGTCAGAGGGTACATCTTGCTCACAAGAACACTGGTTTTTTCGAATCATCTTCAAGCTGCTTGTTTTCAGTTGTTTAGGCTTTTCATCTTTGTCTTTTCATCCCGTGCCACTCATCAAGCATTCTTTATGGTGTGCTAAACAATTTCAGCTTCTTTGCTTCAGCGTTGGAAAAGCCAAACCACTGTTTCTTGGATTAACAGCAGCTATAAGATGAAATCCACCATGGATGTACTGCACGGTCTCAACTCGCATCTAGTCACACGAATATTATTGTCACCTAGAATGAGTTAAGCAACGGGTGGAGGAAATGTAACATTTTTCTTACCTCAAGGATAACGTCCGCAACCACCCCGTGTGCATTGGTAAGGATTCTCCTGTAAGAGATCGCAAATCCTGGAGAAGGAAAAAAGACAAAAAGAGTTCAACTCAGAAGAATCGAAGCAAGGTAGGGTTGGATATTATGAAAATCTTGACAACACTGCTGATTAAGTCCTAAGGTCCTCCAGAAAAATGTGGCAAATGAATTTTAAGAGATAAACTGGTATGCAACTGCAAATCTATATAAAACATTATATAAATTATTGACCATATTAATTGATAAAAATGGCATAGTTATGGATTAAATAATCATAATAGAATAAATATTCTAATTATTGAAAAATAATTAAAAAATTTCATGATACCAAATATAACAACGCTTTAAATATCACTTCTATTATAAACTATAAAAGGAAAAAAAATCAATTGATATTAATATATTGTATTCATAATTTATTAAGATGGTTTTTCATTAAAAAAACTAGGTCTAATACCATATACTATTATTAGTATAGTGGAATTTTAGTCTATATGAAAATGGTTTCAATCTAGACCATTTGTTCTTGTATATATTGTAAGGTTTTTGGGTTAATTATATATACACATTTTTTTATTTCATAGACTCACGTAAATGTTCTCTAAGGAGTGATTGGATTTATACTTTTTATTTAAATTTAACGTTGCATTCTCTAAATCTTTTTTTCTTTTGTAGTTTTCTCATTCCTTAATTTTTGTTTTTGTTTTAATTAAATTTATCTTCTTGATTGAGGCCTGTGAGTCTCAAAAGGTTAATTGTGTATCCAAAAGCTTTGTCATAGGTTTTAAAATTTTGTATCACTTGTTGATAATTTGTTGTTCTAGCATTTACATTCTTAATATCACATTAAAAACAATTATACTTACTTTGTAAAGACTAATTCTGCAGTTACTATTTATGGCTGGTGGTGCTTTTAATCTTCATTCAACACTTACTATGATTCTTCTATTTTAGGCAGATATATAGATCATTATGTGATTAAGAATTTATTTAGGTTTTTATATTGGTGAAGATCCAACATAATGTTGTCTGGTATATGCATATATTAAGCTCATGATATGTTGTAGAAAGTAAAAACTTGTAGAAGTCTTTCTGTTAATCAAAAATCCAATTTAATATCATTCAGTAAATATATATTATAAGTAGCCAAAGAGAACAACTAGAGAAACAATCTATAAAAGTTTAAATATAGAAGGAAAAAGGCCCATAAATAAAAATGCACCTTTTTTTCAAATTAATTAAGGGTATTGAGATATTTAGGGTTAAGTGTTCTCATACTAAGCTAGACAACCTTCTGAGAAGTCTAAATTTATAAACTTACATTTGATATTAAAGGGGTATCAAATGTAACTCTATTAATTTGCTAGGGGAATCACCATATATTGAGATTGACATTTAATGGTTTAATTTGGTCCTGCTAGGCTTGATTCGAGGGGTAAGGTGTAAAGAGAGTGTAACTCTCAACTTCCATTTATAAGAACGTGAATTTATTTACAAGGAAGTATAGTGGATTAAGCAATGAAAGAAAACAACTCAAGAAGCAATTTATAAGTGTTCAAATATAAAGGGGAAATGACCTATGAACAAAAATTACACTTCCATTTCCAAGCTTATAATATGTTATAAAGGATGGTGAGAGTGTGAGACATAAACCCCCTAAATCCCAAAGTAGAACCAAAAAAGTGCAATATGATAGTGGTTAAAGTGGAAGTTTAATAAGTGTAACGTGTTTGGACTAAAAGTTTCAATTTGGAAAGTTAAGAGTGGGAGTAGAACCCCGAACAAAGTGCTTGAGGAATGAACACAAAACAATCAATGAATGAATCTCTAAAAAGGGACCCAAAATACCTAAGATGGATCTGAGATAAAGTTCAAGATATAGTTTGATATAGACCCAAGATGGAGTCTGAGATGAACCTAAAATGGAGTTCGAAATGGATTTGAGATGGACCCAAAATGGAGTTCGAGATGATATCTGAGATGGACTCAAAATGGAATTTGAGATAGAGTCCAATATAGACCCGAAATGGTAGACCCAAGATAGTAGACTTGAGATGGAGTCTAAAATGGACCCAAGATAGAGTTCGAGGTCGAGTTCGAGACTGAGATTAAGACCAAGTCTAAGTCCAAGTCTGAGTTTGAGTCCAATTCCAAGTCCGAGTCTGAGTTTAAGGGTGAAAGCACAAAGCAATCATATCCTAAACCTTAGGGGGTTTGGTGAGCTCTAAAAGTGTAATAGGGGGAGGACTTTAGTGGAATTAATTTGGTTAGGAAAAGCTAATATGACCAAGGAATGCTATACTTATGTGGTGGGTGATAAGATAACTATTGAGGAATTCAAAGTTAAAGTGAACACAGATAGACAAATAGGATAATTTGGTGAAATGTTCATTAGTTGCCCCGGGAGATCAAATAATCAATGCTCCCAATCCAAGTGTGGGTGGCACTACTTACTTGGATACCTGATATAGTTTATCAAAACCTCACCCTAACCACATGGTTAAGGCACCCAAAGCTAGAAGGTGGAAAGAGTACCCATAAGGCTTGTGTTGGGCTATAGTGTTTCCAGAATGTGAAAAAGAAGAAGAGTAGTCCTCTTATGTAGTGATCAAGGATATAGTCATGTGGTAAGAAAGCCCTAGAAATTAATAAGACTTAGTGGTTGGGCCTTCAAACCTTAACTTAATGGTAGTGTTAGCAAGTATGGTTATGAATAAAAAGGGATTTAGTGGGGATCAAAGACAAGATATTGGGGAAGAGTGTTCTTATATATTCGGGCATTCTAAGGATCTTAAAGTGTGGTCATGAGATGACCATTCATGGATGAATGGTTTAATTTGTGGGAGAGAAGACATATAAATGCTTACCTTTTGCACTTAGTCTAAGTGCTCCACATGTTTGATCCCAACAAACACCCAAATGCATCATTAACATATTAGTCTACCCATGAAATGAGAAAAAGGTGAATAGATATAGTTTAAATGTAACGGCATAAATACCATATACAGGACTAATATGTCCCCAAATCAGGAATATAATTTACAAAGGTTGTTAATAAGACTCTTTCAAGTGTGTGGTTAAGTGACTAAAGTAAAATAAAAAATTTAATTATTTACAGAGAGTTAATTGTAATTTCTTATTTGTTTGAGTTAGTAGCATTTGATTTGATAGAGCCTTTTATATAGTCAATTTCTAGTAATAAGTATATCATTATTGCTTTTAATTACTTGAGTTATCAAGTGAAATTTAGTGTTTTTACTAGTGCATCTACAATAACGATTAAATACTTCTTCCTTAATCAAATAGTGTTTTGATATCTTTGTTAAGAGTGAATGCTTTCCAATAATAATCTTGCATTTATCATCCAGAAATGGATGGTTCAGGGGAATGGCTCTTTAGAACTTTCAAAACGATGATAGAAAAATATATGAACTTTTAGCATTTAGATTGAGATGGTTATTTATTATATCTTTAATACATATATATCATATAGGTGTAAAATTCTATTAGTGTTTACCATATAAATTCTTATATAATCATGATTTATATTCCTATTGGAGTTAAGTTTACATTCACAATTATTATAAACTGTTGATAATAAGTTCTAGAGTTAATATTTAATAAACATTCTTCTATTAATTTAAGTGGAGTTTATTGAGCACTTAGGCCATGTACAAGTAAGACAACAATGGCACTATAACTCTCATCATCATTCATATATAAAGTATAAAGTGGATGACTTAGTATTAATTTATTTTCCCAATTATAGAAAAATATATGATTTATCTAAAAGGGTCTTTACCTACTGAAAGGGACTATATCAAGTGTTGTAGCATTTGGCTATAACTTTATGAAATTTAACACAACATTTAACAACTCAATTCTCCAAAAATTATGTATATGTTGCAATTCAAGTGTTTTGTATAAAGGGATTAGAAACAAATTACACCACCTACAAATCTATTAGTGCCTTTTCTTAATGTTTTTTTAAATCCTAAACTTTCAATTAAATTAGTCTTAATTGATTTCTATTCTTCAAAGAGGAAGGGATGATAATTGCTATTCTTCAAAGAAGAAGAGATGATATAAAGTTTATATATACAACTATGATGCTTTATACTATTATTAGTATAGTGAGAATTTAGTTGGTTTCAAGTTGGACCATTTTTTATATAAGTTATGGTTTTGAATATGCATATTTTTATATTTCATGCACTTTAATTTTTATATTATTTTATAATTTAAAAATTCTTAAAAGTTTGGAATAATTTACATTATATTGAAAGAAAAAATATTATAAAATTAGGTTTTACATTCTATTAACTATTAAATATTATGGAAATAAAAATATAATTTTAAAAAAAATACCAATTCTTAATAATTTATTTTAGGTATTCCAATAATTGGTAATTTAAGAGAAACATTTTGTTCTTTTATATGATAAAAATGAGAAAATTTGCTCTTTTTAATGTAATTTTTTATGTTACAGTGTTTATAAAGCAATATGTTCAAAAATATCAAAAATAGTTTTTTCTCAGCAAATTGCTTAAAAAAAGTTATAGTATTGACATAGGTAATTTCATTATAAAATTCTTTGCCCCATTTTTATGATAGTTTTATTTGTCATGTATATATAAATAAAAGAAAATAAATAATCTATATAATTTTTGGAAAGTTTTTATTATTATTGTAAAACCTATAAATTAGTTTAAAGCATTTCTAATTCAATAAAATAATGCCCATCAAGGCTTTTAACTGGTTTGATGTTTGATGTTACTATTAATGTATGTATATTCTTTTAATTTTGGCTTAAAAATCTTATTAAAATAAAATAAAAATTCTTATTAACAATTGATATCAAACAAAAATTCGTTTAACCAACGCAAAGATTTGAGAATACAACATACGAGGCAGGATTATCATCGTGCTCTTGTTCTAGTGAAACCCTTATCATCTCCCCTTGAACTCTACAAGCGCCAGCCACACTTCTCCAGCTCACAGCATCGGGCTCAAATGGCATGCCGTGGAAGAGCTCCTCGGCACGCTCCAGCTGCCCGGCCCGAGCCAGGACATCGATCACGATCATGTAGAGCTCGGGAGTGAGAAAGATTCCATCGTAGTCACTAGCTATGGTCGCAAAACAGTGACATGCTACTTCCACCATGCCTGCGTGACTACACGCACATAGAACACTGACAAAGGTCGAATCTATGGGAGAAATCCCGTCGAGGATCATCAACGCAAACAGCCACAGCGTGTCGAGAGCTCCACCGCTTGCGGCATGAGCAGCGATCAGGGCATTCCACGAGACGGCATCACGATGGAGGTCGTGGACGAAGAAGAGATCTCTCGCCACCTCCAGCTTCCCACATTTCGCATACATATCAAGAACGGCGGTTCTCATCGACAGATCGGTGTCGAGTTTCTGTTCCACGATCTCTTCGTGGATGATTCTTCCCACGGATAGCGATGGAATGCTCGCGCAGGAGTTGAGAGCTGCGAGAATCGCTATGTGGTCGATCCTAACACCCTCGAGATCCATCGCGAGAAACAGCCAGAGAGCTTGCTCGTGATGCCCGTTCCGGGCATAAGCGTGGATCATTGCAGTCCAGCCCACTGGATCATTGGATTGAAATGAGCAAAAGAACTCCCGCGCTTTCTCAAGATTTCCATTGTCGGAGTAGCCTCCCAGCATAACAGTGCACGAAACATCGTCTTGCTCGGGCATTCTATCGAATATCCTCCTCGCCATAGCCACATTTCCGTTCCTGGCGTAGGCTTGGAGCATCCCAGTCCAGGACACGATATCTCTCCGCGGGATCTCATCGAACAGAGCTTTCGATTCCTCGATCCGGCCCTGGCGTCCCAGTTCCTGGAACAAATCCATCCATGCCAGTGCATCCCTTTGGGGGATTCTGCGGAAGAGCTCCTTCGCTTGCTCGAGCTTACCCTCTTTGGTCAACCCAGCCAGCACCGTGTTCCACGACACGAAATCTCGCCCTGCCATCTCGCCAAGCAGCAAATCCATTGCGATCGAGGCGTGGCCGTGCTGCGCATACGCCGAGATAACAGTATTGAGCGAAATCACATCAGGTTTCTCGATCCTGGCGAAGATCTTTGCAGCGCTCTCGACATGCCCTCGCTGGGCATACGCAGCGAGCATGATATTCCAAGAAACGTTGTCGCGATCCGGGATCTGGTCGAAGCAGTGCCTGGCTTGGACGAGATCGTTGCTTTGGACAAATGCCCGGATCATCGTGTTCCACGAAACCACATTTCGATGTGGCATTCGATCAAAGGCCTCCTCTCCTCTGCGACAGTGCCCTCTCTGGGCATTTGCCGTGACCATAATATTCCAGGAGTAAATATTTCGCTGGGAGATGCGATCGAAGGCGAGTCGAGCTTGATCCAGGCAGCCGCACTGCGCATACATGGCGACGAGGAGATTCCCAATGAGAGTATTGCGATCGGCGCCATCTCTCTTAAGCTGCGAGTGGAGGCGCTTGCCCTCGAGCAATGCCCTGCTAGCAGCATACTGGCGAACAAGAGAGGCGGCATTCATTAATCGCCATTAGGGTTTAGGGTTTATTCGATGGCGATCTAGCGAGATCACAATGGCGCTGTTTAGATCGCTAGGTAGAGCCTCTCGGGCAGCTGCTGCGCGGTTGTCCAAAAACAGCGTTAGATCGTGTAGCTCCCAGGCTCCTCCCCGGATTTTAGGAAGTAGGAGATTTTGCGATGCTCTGGGGCGGCCGAGCGGCAGCCGGCATTCGTGCCGGCATTTTTGTAGCGCGGTGCCGCCGATTTTTCTGGAGGACTTGGATGTTGAGAGGAGAGATCCCCAGGGTGGATTGGACGCTGCCCTCAACAGTGTCGTCAAGATTTTCACGGTGTCGAGCAGCCCGAACTACGTTTTGCCTTGGCAGAAGAAGCCTCTCCGCGAACTCACTGGCTCCGGTATGATTTTCTTCTTCTCTTTCGATTTTTCCTGGAGTGAACTCTTTCTTGCTTTTCCAGGATTTGCGATCGCTGACAGGAGAATCCTTACGAATGCACACGTCGTCGCGGATCATAGCTATGTCATGGTCCGCAAGCATGGATCGGCCGTCAAGTTTCGTGCCAAAGTTCAAGCTGTTGGACACGAGTGTGATCTAGCGCTACTCCGGGTTGACGATGATGACTTTTGGGAAGGGATTGAGCCGCTTGAGCTGGGTGATATCCCATTCTTGCAAGACTCAGTCGCTACCGTGGGCTATCCTCAAGGTGAAAGAAAAGTTGTTTCTCTACCCGTGTTAGTTTAAGCTGACTCCTCCTTGCTTTCAGGTGGCGATAATATTTGTGTGACTAGAGGCGTGGTTTCAAGAGTCGAGCCCGTGCAGTACATCCACGGTGGATCTCATCTGATAGCTATACAAATTGATGCTGCTGTTAATCCAGGAAACAGTGGCGGTCCGGCTATGTATAATAATACAGTCGTTGGAGTTGTGTTCCAAAATCTTTCCAATGCTGAAAACGTTGGGTAAGGAAGCTGAAATTGTCTTTCTTCTTTGTCTCGAGCTTGTGCTTTTATACAGATATATTATTCCCGTGCCAGTCATCAAGCACTTTCTGAGCGATGTAGAAGAAAGGGGACGATACATAGGCTTTTGCGGCTTAGGACTCGTGTGCCAATCAACTGAAAACAAGCAGCTGAGGGATCACTTGAAGATGGATTCGAAAAAAACCGGTGTGCTTGTGAGCAAGGTGTACCCTCTGACGGAGGTGAGCAACTACATCAAAAAGGACGACGTCTTGCTTGCCTTTGATGGTGTCCTTATCGCAAATGATGGCTCAGGTATGTTTCTGCGGCGTTTTTCCTTTCTAACGGTGAATCATTTTGCAGTTACTTTTCGAAACAGGGAGAGAATCTCTTTTGTGCACTTAGTGACCATGAAAAGAGAAGGCGAGTCCGCTGCTTTACGAGTTTTGAGAGATGGAAAGGAGATCAATTTTAACGTTAAGCTCGCTCCGGTATTATTCATTATTGGTATCACTGCCGAGAACTAACGTTGTGTGTGTGCTCCTTTCAAGGTGAAACCTTTGGTACCAAATCACCAGTTCGAGCGCCTTCCAAGTTATTACATATTTGCCGGTCTGGTCTTTGTGCCACTTACATTACCATACTTGCACGAATATGGTGACGATTGGTACAACGCTTCACCCAGACGGCTTTGTGATCGGACCTTCTCCAAGATGCCGAAAAAACCAGGAGAACAGTTCGTCATCATGTCACAAGTAAGCTACCAAAACTCTTATTGTTGACGATACAAAAAAACTCTGTTCATAGGTACTCATCGATGACATCAATGCGGGGTACGAGAGGCTCGCTGAGCTCCAGGTACATTTCTGGATTCTAGTATGTTATGGAGACCATTTTGTTTATACAGGTGAAACAAGTCAATGGCGAGAAGATTGTGAATCTTCAGCACCTCAGGCGCCTTGTCGAAGGGTGCAAAGAGCCTTACATTCGGTTTGATTTGGATGATGGACGGGTTATCGTGCTGAAGTATGAATCTGCGAAGGAGGCCTCGTTGCGCATTTTGCAGAACCATCGAATATCGTCAGCGGTGTCCACGGACCTCTTGGAAGCAGATAAAGAGGAGGAATCAAGCGACGATGCTGAGAAGGAAGTAGGGACCTTGTGATAAGCGTCCTGCGTCTTGTCTTTTCGAGGTGCAGTGCACGATTTTTATTTCTTGTCACAGTTCGATTCTTCCGCACTGCGAGGATTCGCAAGAGTTTGTCCAGTGGATTTCTCACAGGCTAAGCAGGAATTTTGCTGATCCCGTCCTGGTACGTCTTTGAACAAGGAATAAAGAAAATAAAAAACATTTAACTTCGCTTTTTCTACAGGAATTTACAAAAGTGTGTTCCACCACCTCTAAAAGAGGATTCCGGCTGTGGCTGCTCCCCGGGGTATTGACGGAAGCTCGTCCTTTCGTCCTAGCCTGTGCACAACCTTCTGGTGAAACAGCTCTCCGTCCTCTCGGAGCTCCACCGGCAACCTCAGCGTTCTCTGGATCGTGTCCTGGACATCGGTGTAGTACCCGGCACAGTCCCTGTACATCTCGAAGATCATTCCCAGCTGCATGTCGTGCGAGACACATCCGGCGAAGAATGCCCCGATGCTCAGCAGCGAGGCCGGTATGGGATGAGAGTTCGCAAGGTTGGCGATCCCAGCGAGCAAAGCCATGGCCGGACCAGCGATGGCGAGTCCCTTGTTCACGCTCAAGATGATCCGACACATCTTCAAGTAGTTCTCCACGTCCTTGTCCAGGAGGCTGGAGACGCGCAGCAAGTCCTCCTCGATCTTCCGGCTCCAGCCATTCGAACTGGACGTCTCGGAGGCGACGCGGATGATCGGGGCGGAGGGGTCGTAGCTTGTCCCGGAAGGTGAGGGGGAGATCTTCTCCGGGAACTTTGGAAGGCCGCCGGGGGTGAGGGGGAGGGGATAGGCCTGGTCCAGGGCGTGGAACTTCGAGATCCTGTCCTGGAAGAAGAGCCTCGAGTCCTCCCGGAGGGACGGGGAGATGGCCAGCGTGGAGTCGATCTCCTGGAAGAGGTTAGCGAACTGGCGTGCCGCGGTGCGCTGCTCCTCGGCGAGCTGCGATGGCTGGAACTTGTTCACGGCGGCCATGACGAGAGCTGCGAAGACGTCGAGGAGCCCCGCCGAGAGCGCCAGGCTGAGGCCGTGAATGGAAGATCCGTTTAGAGCGGAGAGGACGCCCGCGGTCACCGTTGCCAGGCGGAGGCTGCCTTGGAAGAGCTTGTTCCAGTCGTCTCGCTGCTGGGCGATGATGGAGTGCATCTCCTTGCGGTCAGAGATGGAGGCCTGGAGGATCCGGAGCTTGGCGAGAAGCTTCTGGTTCTCGAGCATCGCGGATTCGTCGAGCCAGCCCTTGAAGACGTCGGCTGCTGGCTGGACTCTCTCCACGGCGGGCGAGAGCTTCACTGCATTGATCTTTGAGGAGGAGCAAACTTGGGACGGACCCGTTGACACTGCTGACCGAGGAGGAGTTTTGATCCTTGAGAGTGGCGAAAAGCCATAGCTTTCTCCTCCTCCAACAGCCTTTATCCCCATGGCTTGGGCGCTGATGTTAATCTGCGAGGACATCGCCATAGCTCCAATGATTTGCAGCTCTTGTCGAGGTATCTTGCAGAGGTGGAAGACAGCCTGGTGTGAGAGCGAGAGAAAACGGATGAAATGAGATATATGTGCCCCTAGAACAAGGGGATAGCAGATTTTATAGTCCGGAATGGAAAGAGCCGGCAATCACGGCCGTGATTCCGGAATGGAAGCTTGCACTCCCGCGTGGACTGGGAATAGTCTTGACCGGAACAAGCGATGGCGATAGTCAACAAGAAGACCAAGCAAAGTTTAAAGGTTGTAGTCAACAAAGCCAAAGACTAAGCACTTAGTAAAGCGTAAACAAGCGTCACTTTATTAGCCGTAGTTATCAACAAAGGCGAAGACTAAACAAGATTAGCAGTAGTAGGCTATACAGCATATCCTTTGGCGCGATTGACTTACAACGAAGGCGAAGACCAGGTAAAAGCAAGCTTCTCTTATTTATCCTTTCCCGCGCGATTGACTTACAACGAAGGCGAAGACCAGGTAAAAGCAAGCTTCTCTTATTTATCCTTTCCCGCGCGATTGACTTACAACGAAGGCGAAGACCAGGTAAAAGCAAGCTTCTCTTATTAGTTTACAGTGTATCCTTTCCCGCGCGATTGACTTAGAATTCCTCCACTTCCAAGGCATCCTTGAGAACTTCATACACCTCTCTGGGTCGCGACTTCTTCATCCCCACCGAGAAGTAGACCTTGTCGCCGGGATGATCCGTGGGGACGGAGATGGCGGCCACCTTGACCCAGATGAGAACTTTGGTCTTGATGCCCTCCACGTCCACGAGCTTGCCGTGCTGGAGAGTGGCGGTGACTGTGGCGGCGTACCTCAGAATGGACGAGTCCCGGAAGCAGCACTCGCAGATCCATGGGAGCATCACGGTGAGCTTGCCGGTGGCCTCGTCGAATTCGTAGTGCGTGGCGTTCTTGGGGAAGATCCCTCGCGGGAGATTGTAGCTGTGGAGGAGATCGGGGAGAGGTGTTTGCATCCTTCCTGAGAGTGTGAGAAAATGGAATTTGTTACTGTGGGGAATGTGGATCGAACGGCACCTTTTAGGCGGTTGAAGAGAAGCTTGGCGCTCGTCTCTACGGTGGAAGATAGGGACTGTTGCAAGGGAGGTGTAAGGGAATCGAAAAAAAGACCTAGAATGCAGCAAACCATACATTGAAATCGTCGCCGATGGAGTTCATCTCCTTCTTTGCCCGCCGTGCCAGCAAGAAGCTACTCGCTTTGGAGAGTGCGCCCTCCATCTCCCTCTGCCCAAAGAACCCTAAAAAGCTTTGCCCTAAATGGTAAATTCAAACACTATACTACCAATTTAATCTACATTGCTTAGAAACTTTAGCGTCTCTTTTGGAAGAGCTTGTGTGAACAAACCATTCCTCACCATTGTTGAAGTTGAACATTTCCGTGCCCAAGAGGAGGTTTGATCTGAAGCCTGCCAATCTCTTGCTTGCCTTGTCCTCTCCATAGGCCTTTGCAAACAAGGCGTGAACTTGGTCGAATTTGGCATCCAGATTTCTCATCCAGGCTTCACTGCAAAGTCCCAATAGTGTGAAGCGAGTCAATATGTTTTCTAGATGGTTACCAAGATCTTCCTTGATGGGTTCCATTTACTCGCCAGTGATCGAGGATCACAAAATCGTCCTGGAAATATAATGGCAATGCGTCTGCCAGCATCCTGTTGCCCGCTGTCTAGAGATTTTTACAAGCAGCAGAGATTTATGTAGTAAACGAGCAAAGAAACAAAAGGCTTTTTGCGAGAATTACCGTGCGGTATGCAAATAGCTTGTGGCAAGCATGTTCCACGAATAAGAGACCTCCTTCATTCATAAGATTGGAGACTATCTTCATAAACTTTTGATAGTTTGTCATGTGCTGCGCAAATTTTCAACAAGTTAGAACATCAATGATGGAAGATTTAATATTATGCCTCGAAAACGCCGATGCAGAAGATCCTGTCGAAAGTCTGCGTGATTTTGGTGCTTGTTATGTCGCAATCAATTGCCTCAACGTTTACCAGGCCTCTTTTTCTACGATACAAAGAAAAACGACGAGATCAACTGTGGCACCAGAAAAGAAAGAGGAGGAAACTGCTTGTTGAACCTGCATTCCTCTCGGATGTGCTCAGTTTGAACTCTCGAATCGGATATGGAAGTAATCTGGCAGGAAGGAAACCTTTGCGCGATATACAAAACCAGTCCGCCATAGCCAGATCCAAGATACGCTGCCCGCCCTCGATTCGTGCTCTGTCGCAGCACAGCTTAAACATGGCTTCCTCGGCTTGCTCGTCCGTGAACGAAGGATCCTCGTACAACAAGATCCTCGTACAACAAGCAGCTGATCATTCAGTTTTGAGCATTCTAATTGTCATGAGATTTATGATCAAATCTTGGGTTCTTCTTACCTGTACTTGAGATGCTTTCTAAGAAGGAGTTTGAAGAAGTCAACATCATAGAGCTCGTCCCGGAAAGAGCCCCTTGCTTCCATGACGGGCATTTGCTTGGCATCTACAAAACAAGATGTGACAAATCGATTGATTCGACTAGAATGAGAGGGAGAACTTACTCTGGACGAAATTAACAAGGCCCTGGAGCTGCTCTTCTGCAGAGAGTCCGTACAAGTAGCGGAGCTGCAATGCCACATCCTGGCGGATTAGCCTTCGCACTAGAAAATCTGGCAGCTTTTGTAGGACTGGGTGCAACACCCCGACAGGCTCGAGCACCAGCGTTTCCATGATTCTCAATTCTCTCCGTTTGCTCTCCGCTTCAGTGGGCAATGCTGACGCTACTTGCGCAGCGTAGAAAATATAAACTATTTTAAAAATGTTTTGAAAACAAAAGGATTGGTAATGATTGAACCTAATAAGCTAATCCAATTGATGGCTCGTACGTACTTACAATTTTTCTTGCCTCCTGACATTGTTTTCTCTTATATGATGCCCATTATTTGCCAAAAAGGAAGCTTTTTCCTTTTTTTTTTGTCTTTCCTATCTTGAACCAATATATATACAGTCCACTTGTGCTGCATGGGACATGGATGCAATGCATGGTTCAACAAAAAGAATAAGAAAAAGCTTTGATATATTTTATGAAGACCCACTAAGCATTAAATTTATTGGCTAATTCCTGATATAGGTGTTTTGAACATGGCTATAACAATTATTATAATAAATCAAGATATATATAAAAAAAAGTTCAGCTTGTTAAGTATCGTACCAAACCTTATAAATTTGCAATCTAAATTGCCATAATACACAATACAATCCCTTCCACAGAGTAAAAATCCCTTCAAACAAATTATATATTGTAAGATTGGGAAAATGAATTAACATTATATCATCCATTTTATACTCTACAAGTGGATGATAATAAAAATTGTAATGCCATTGTTGTCCCACTTGTACATAACCCAAATTTTCAACAACTCCATTTGAACCAATGGAAGAATACTCATTAAATAATGATCCTAAAATTTTATTAACAACTCATAACATTTCAAATATAACCTCAAATGGTAATATCATACCATTTTTATATAGAAGTTTATATGGTGAAGCACCGATATAATTCATGACAAACTATTATAAAATAAAATAAATATAAAATAGTATGAAACAAAGGGGAAAAACCTTAAAGCCATATTTAATATAATTGCACTGTAACTAATTTGTATAAAGGAAGGTCAAATGTTTAATTCAACACCATCTATAACGATTGAAGCTCAAACTCAAGATCACATGTATGCACAATTAAGTCTGCACTATTCCACACACACATATATGTATGTATATATATGTATATGTATGTGTATGTATGTACATATGTATGTATATATGTATATATATACATGTATGTATATAGTTATTGTTATTGCTACACATTGTTATTTACAATTGTATCATGTAGTAAAGTTGGTCTTCATTCTTTATAAGCCAAATAATAAAAAATAAACTCAAACCTATATCAACTAACATAGACAAAATAATATTGCTATAAAAATGAGATTGGGAAGTAAATATTAAATGAATTGGTGCTAAATGAACCCCTTGATAGTACTTCCAAAAAAGAGATAAAGGGATTACTAACTTATTCAAGCAATGATCTTCCACTACTCATAGAAATATTTATTTGTTAAGACCTTCCATCACAACAACACTAATGCCATAGCCATAATTATATTTTCACCCTTGTCCTTTAACATGGGTAGCAATAGCATCAATCTCTATCAGAACATGAATATCTCCCATTAGGAGTAGAGTTGAAATATGTATAGCTATAAATGGGAAACATAATGTTTTATAGCATTATGTTAGTCAAATAATGCTATCAAGGGTAACTAGAGTAAGTGTACAAGTCTTATAAAATTTTGATAAAACATTAGCCACAATATGCCTAATTTGATTTGCTTTAAAATATTTTGCTTCACACGAAGCAAGAAACTTTAGAAGTGAACACCAAATTACATAATTAACTTAAACAACTTTTGACAAGGATTTTACAATTGTTAAAAAGGCATTGTCATAGTCATTAGCATATTTGAATGGGTGCTTAAAGATATACAATAAAAGACTCTAATTCACATAAATGGTTGCATTTATACCATTATATCATTGCAATGTTGTCAATTGAGAAACATGTGTAAACTTTGAATTTAGACTTCTTAAGAAATCATTTAGCTAATTTTTAACTCCAAATATCCTAAAACTCTTAATCAATTAAGAAAAAAATGTGATCTTTTATTTATGGGCCCTTTCCTTTTATATTTGAACCCTAATAAATCATTCTTTACTATCTGGGAAACTAGTGGGCATCATCCCAAAAGTTATAGATGGTATTCATTATGAAATGATCAAACCAATTATATATATCATTCTCAGAATTTTTATGGAAAAAATCTAGATGGATGCGAGGATTAGCAGCAAAGATAAAAAAGATGCACTATATGCCATGAAATCTACTACCAATTAAGTTTGATTATTCAATTGCAACTATACAACATTGAATCATTGCACCAATTGTTACTCTAAAATCAAAGAAGAAGGATATGATTAGTATGCTACTTTACTATGAAAATGAACAAAAAGAAAAAAAGTAAAAGAGAAGAAACAAATAGTCAAATCATATTTCAATTGCTATAAAAGTGATGTCTATGTGTATTCATTTGGATGGCTTTTATAAGCTCTATCACATTATAATAAGAGCTGCCCCTTAACTCTAACAATATGAATGTATAGAATATTGAAATATGTATATTCAATTAGCCTTAAAACCCTAGAAGAGTATTATCATGTTAATAATAATATATTCTCACAGTTTGAATTTATAATAATATTTAACTGAAAAACCTAGAAATAATTATGAAATAAAACTAAAATAAAAAATAAAACAAAAAATATGTTATAAGTGTTGAATGAAAAGTCAATATAAACACCAACTAATAGTTTATATTCATTTATTTCATATTTTATCGTTTAATAATGAATTCAGATATAATAACTAAAAGTGGTAGGTAAATAAAAAATTGGGTTAGATGAATATATCTAATTGCAAATAGATAAGTATTTCGTATATAAAATCTATATATTATGTAATAATTTAAATAAATTTTATTATTATATTTTGTTTCTACTTGATCAAAGATATATAATATCCTCAAAAATACAAAAAAATTGCACTATAAATACTACAACAAACTGAGTAATTTTATAGAAGTCACAAATCAGGAAAAAAAAAAAAAGACTTAATAAGAACAAAATATTAGAGGAATAGACATGGTTTATTTTGTAATGGACAAAAATATAATCTAATTTTGATTATTAAACTATCTTGTGTTGTTATATACTATCATATATTATTTTAATATAACTGCATTTTTGTAAATATAAATATGAGTAAAGCTACCAAATGTTTTTGCAAGAGCAAACACCACCTACAAACCTGTGAATCCTGTTGGCATCCTTCACAACAATCTCTCGTCCAACAACCTTGGACAAAAACTGGGTTGCGTCATGGCAGTCATAACACATTCTCAAATTCTTGGTCACCTCAACTTTGGTCCCAGGCTGCGTAGAAATGAAAGCGTAACCAAGCGCAAGCTTCTCACTGTGGCGGCACAGAAGCTCCTCTTTCGCTCTCTCCTCATCGCCGTCATCTCCCAGCATCGTCACCACATTAGTATTTGGAACATAGCCAGCCTCTCTCATGAGTACTTCCAGCCTCGCAAGCTCCTTGTGAACGTTCTCGATTTGGGGATGCGAGGTATCCCCAACAACGAATCTATGAAGCTTGCCTCCGACCCTCACCCGGCTTACCCCTGGAATCCGCTTCACGTTTCTCGTCAACATCATCTCCTTGACAAGTTTTACATCGTCTTCGTTTCCATCCCCACTGCTAAGAGTGTTGGCCAACAAGACGTGAAGAGAACCGCTTCTTGAGTCCAATTCCAGTGCTTTCTCTACCATACGCTTTGCTCTATCGCAGTCATTGAAGCTCCTGCAAGCTCCCAGAAATGCGTGCCAAGCTACCTCGTCCGGAACGAAAGGCATGTCGAGGATCAAAGCTTCGGCTTTGTCCAAGTGTCTTGCTCGCCCAAAGAGATCTATCATGCAAGTGTAGTGCCTCTCTGTAGCTTCGATCGCGTAGTCTCCCACCATCAAATGAAAGCAGTCCCTCGCGTCCATCACCTTCGCGACATGGCTAAAACCATCCAGGAGGCAAACGAACGAGACCTCGTTTACCTCAATTCCTTCCATGGATATAAACCGAAGAAGCTCCATTGACTCCCAGACCTGACCGTTTCGCGAGTATCCCGCAAGCACTGAGTTGAGCATCTCGGCTTGCCAGCACGGAGCCAACACTAAAACCTCGCAAGCTTTGCTAATTTGCCCATGTCTGGCATATGCCGCAGCGAGCAAGGTCCACGATATCGAGTTCCTCTCCATCATCCCGTCGAAAGCTTTTTTGGAATCCAGCGGCGTAGCGTGGCTGGCGTAGCATGAAAGCATGGCGTTCCATGAAACTGTGTTTGTTTTTGCCATCTTTCTTAGAACAAGCTCGGCCATCTCGACTTCCCCGCTCGCCACATAGGCGGAAAGAAAAACCGTCCAGAGAACGACATCCCGCTGCTCAGCATAAAAGAATCTTTCTTTGATTATATTCATGCTATCTCTTCCGGTGATCTCGACTATGCGCGTAGTACACGCCGTTGCATCCCATTGCGGCATCAAATAGAAGACCCTTTCCGCTTCAACAAAATCCCCAGCATTGGTATTTGCAGTGACGAGCAAAGTCCACATTGCTACACACCTCTTGGGGGCAATATCAAATGTTTCTTTGCACTCAATTGCGCAGCCATGCCTGGCCAAAGCTCCTAACAAAACAATGTACGCCACAGTGTCGTGTAGAGGCATCAACCAAAACGCTTTGCTCGTTTCGTCCACGAATCCATTGTGAGCGTATCCACGCAACAGCACCGTCCACAAGATCAAATTCCACTCGAGGCTACTGTCAAAAACCACCTTTGCTTGTTCCATCTCGCCAGCCTTCCCATAAGCATCAACGATTGCCGCTAAGTTGGCGGTGTTTATCTGCGGCATTTTGTCCAAGACGCTGGCCGCAGCATTTGAATCCCCTGCTCTGGAGAAGGCATTGAGCAAGGAATTAAACGAGACTATCGATCTGCCACCTTGCATGTCATCGAACTTTCTCTTGGCATCTGCGTCGTCGTGCGAAGGGCATGAGTTCCAAGAGACGGTGTCCCACTCGGGCATCTTGGCGAAAACGTTTCGGGCATCTTCGTCCTGCCCGGCTCTCGCCAGAGCCGCGAGGATCGTGTTCCAGGACACCATATCCCTCTTCCCTTCCATCCTCTCGAAGCAATCCATGGCTTCTTGGACGCGGCCACACTTGGAGTAGCAACTCACGAGCGCGTTCCACGCGACAGTGTCGACTTCTCGCGAGGAGATCCGATCGAACGCCGCCTTTGCATCCTCGGGCTTGCACTGCTCGGCAAAGACCCCGATCATGGCCGTGCAAGAGATCTTGTTGGCCACCACCCCCTCGTCCTCCATCTCGCGGAAGAGCTCCTGGGCATCGCTCCACTTTCGATTGTCGAGAAAGACCTTGAGCATGGTGTTCCACGAGTAGTCGTCCCGGGAAGCCATGCTCGCGAACACTCTGTGAGCTTCGGCGACGCCCTGGCACCTCGCAAACATGAGGATGATGAGATTGGAGAGGTATCTCTTGTTGGCCGAGAACACGGTGCCACTGGCGAGCACCCGGCGATGGAGAGCCTCGGCCTCACTCAGCCCACCACGAAAGCTTCTCAGCGTCGAGATACAATCCTCCGCTCGCGCGAACGCGGGCTCCCCGCGGACGACGTTGCGTGAACTTCCTCCGAGCTCGCGATCGCTAGGAGGAATGTTAGTAATTTCTTCTAGAACTTGCCGGGCCATCGCGCCGATCTTCTCGTCCTTCATCTTGTCACACATCCAGCGCAGGTAGCTTTCTGGTACTTCCAAGAGGGACTTACCCTTGTGCTTCCCGAACGGCAGGATCGTGTGCATTCCTTCGCAGAGATCAAGGAAAAAATGAAACTATAGCCATCAAGAACCCTAAACTCTCGTTCCATTCAAACATTTCTTTCTAGAGGGGGATTCTTCCTTTTCTACTCTACTTGGATCGTTCTTGGCTGTGGTCTGGCAGGATCGTGTGCATTCCTTCGCAGAGATCAAGGAAAGAATGAAACTATCAAGAACCCTAAATTCTCGTTCCATCTTTCTACAGGCTTCTCTACTCTACTTGGATCGTTCTTGGCTGTGGCTTGGCGACCTTTGGAACCGTGACAGTGAGAACCCCATTCTCCACTTGGGCCTTGATCCCGTCCACATTGGCATTCTCCGGCAGCCGGAATTTCCTCATGAAGCTGCCATAGCTGCGCTCCACGCGGTGCCACTTGTCGGTCTTCTGGGCCTCGTGCATCTTCCTCTCGCCACTGATCTGGAGGGTGCGCCCGTGCTCCACCGTGATCTTCACGTCCTCCTTGCTCAGCCCTGGGAGATCGGCCTTGAAGACGTGGGCGTCGGGCGTCTCGAGCCAATCCACGCGGGTGTTGGCGGCGGCGCTCGCGTCCCTGGCGACCTGCTTGGAGGGCTCGTTGCCCCCGCCGGACAAGATGGACGAGAGCTCCGGGAAGGGATCGAAGACGCCGCCATTGTCATTGCCGTAGAAGAAGAGAGCCATTGCCTCACTCTGCTTAAAACCTAGGAAAAGGAATCGCTAGAGATGAGTTCCTGAACGAGCCCTGCCTCGTTTTATACCATCCAGCGCTGGCAATTCTGGTAGATTCTAGGAGATTCTAAAGAGATCTAGAAGATTCGAAAGCATATGCCACCAACGGACCTCAAGATATTTAAAGTGTGGATGATGGCCCTCTCATAGAAATTCTGTTTAATGATGCCTCTTGGATTTGTTCTTGAGTAGAAACACTCCTCTTTCTTATCTATATTCTCAAGAAAGATTGGAACAAGTGTTTCTTCCTGTAAGGAGTAACTTTTCACGAACTTTTCCTTTGTTCTTACTGTATTCTTTGGAGTGAGATCTATACTTTGCACGAGTCCATGTCATGTTTCCACCCAAACGAAGATCCATCCAGATGCCATGGATATCCATTCAGGTGGAGTAGAAAGAAGCAAAATATTATATAATGTACAGACATACACAAGCACCTGGTAATATCATCTACCTTAGAGCAGCAATCCAGGAAGAGTCATCTCCTCGAAAACTTTTAACCGCCGCCCCGTCCAGCCTTGATCACACTCTTCGACGCTTTGCAGCTCGCGATCTCTTGCGGTGGTCTCCTCCAGATCTCGCAGGAGAGCATCGTCTGCGCTGTCAAAGCTGCTAGCCAGGGACCGCCTCGCGGCAGCCGCCCTGTCGTCCTGAAGAAGAACATCTTTCCAGGTGACCGATTGATCCAAAGCTTTCTTTGGCTTTTCCAAGCTGCTCGCGGGTGACTGCCGGGCGTAAGCTTTGTTTGTCCAATCGGAAGTGAGCGGCAACCGCGACTCTTGCTCGCTGCTCGAGGGCGGGCTCCAAATTGTTTCATGTTGCTCGTTCTCGGTCTCATAACTCCTCTTTCTCGAGATCTTAGCTTCGGAGGTCTCGTTATCGTCTCCATCGTCGCTAAACCCGGAGGTTGCAGCCAGGATTTCCGGGAGGTGGTGTTTCAGCGAAGTTCTAGCCGGAGACGATAAGGGGTTCCACGAGCTCTCGTCTACATTGAGTTCCACGGAGGAAGTCGTGGCCTTGGCACTCTTCCTTTGTACGGACTTCATCTCTCTCAGCTCGACCAGCACCTCCTGGGCTCGCTCGTACGTCTTGCGTTGCGAGGGAGATGCATTCCAGGCCGGGGGAGCCACGCTCTCGAGTGTAACCCTTGCATCGTGAAGCTTCCCTTGCTTCTGGAAGCAAATCCCGAGGTTGCAGACTTTGTTGCTGTCTGGCTCTATCGAGAGAGCTTTCCTGGATAAGTGGTTTTGTTCCATAGTGAGCATCGAGGCAATGGGAAAGAATCGAAATACCTGTAGACAGCCTCGGCAGCAATATAGTTCGATTGCTGCATATAAGCCCATCCCAAGTTTCCCTGCAATTGAGATCTCAATAAGCTCTCAGACCTTCGATCTTAGAATAGAAAAGCGATCTTCTCACCAGCAAGCGAGACGCCTCTTGCTCGATCGATACTTGAAACTTGCGTCCCTGTGATCGAGCTGTTTTGGTTCGCTTCCCGTTAAAAGCGAGACCTTCATGGATAAGGTGGAGCTTCCGTTTTAACAGTGCTATTTGGTCGTCGAGGCGTCCACACCTCTGCGTCAAGGCAACACCGACACTTTAGTCAAAGAAAATAATTAAATAGCTCTAAACTCGTCGAGAAGCCTGGCTTTGCAGTCTTTCCTACCTTGTAGAGATCCAAGAGCACATTATCCAAGGCTTCTTGTGCCTGATCCGTGCAACGATCACGCAGAGACTTGATCGCCTCAATCGCCTCCTCGGGCCTGTTCTGCTGTTTCATTACAATGGCCATGTCCTTGAGGGCGCTGTCCACACGATCTCCCGCATTGATAGCCGCCCAGAACAAAGCTATAGCTCGATCTGGATCCTTGTCGACAAGCTGCGATCAAGCAAGAGGAAGCTCAAGCTTTTGGGAGAGAGAGAGAGAGAGAGAGAGAGAGAGAGAGAGAGAAGAGAGAAGAGAAGAGAAAGAAAGAAAGCCACAACACTTACTTGGACGTGTTTGGCTTTGACATAAGGAGTGTCTCCCACGGGAATTTTGTGTAGAACATGAAAGCTCTCCTGGAAAGACGCCGAATCCAAGTTGTAGCGATCAATCCACATCCTTTGATCTTGCCTCCCTCTCAACAGCTCAAGCCAGGCGAGAATACGACCACGATGCGACTAAATCCTCCAATGCATCATCACACTCGATTTGCCGCTCGCATTTCTCGATTTGCCGCCGCTTACCTCGCCCTTAAACCCTAATCTTCCACGCGAATATAAGGTCAAGGATCGATGGATGTGTGTGTTGTGTGTGAGAGGGAGAGAGAAAGCTTTGCTACTCCCCTCCTCTACCGGTTTTGCCTCCATTTATATGTAATAATGTGGCCAATATCATTGGGAGCTCCGTACACCCGAAGAGGAGTTGCACTTAGACGGAAGGAGGACTAGATACATCCAAAACGATGCACCCAGTCTTGAAGCGTCGATTCGCAGCAACGCGGCGACACGCGAAAGTCTAAGAAGCCAAAGCCCGGTCGCGCTCCGTCGTACATGTATATTCCAAATGGAGCACCACTGGCGGATATTACAAGGATATCCCTTTATTTATTAAACCTGACTAGGTGCAATGCACAAGAAGAGGCATATTCGGTTTGGACTGCGGAGGCTTGGCCACGTAAAATTGTGTTTCTTTTTCGATATGCCTCACTCTTCCAGGCGTGGTTGGCAATGTATGAAGTGTTTCAAGTCCGCGTGGAAGTCTTCCAGGAACGCGTCAAGTGATTTGCCCTCCATGGCGTTTAGCGCAGTAAATCGTTTCGTTAGATGCTCCAGAGGTGACGACTCGTACTGGGAATATCAAAAAGTTTGGTCTAACCGAGTATAAGCGAAAAATTCGATATACCAACCTTGGCTTGCTGTGTTTTCTCGCACAGGAAGATTGCAAGCGTTGCGTCTGGCACCTATGAGAAATCACACTTGTAAGTTTCATGTCAAGGAAGAATGGAAAAGTTTGGAGTAGCTCTTACGAGTGCCTGGTTACGCAGGCATAGCCGTGCGCAGGCCGAGGCTGTTTTCATGAGACTCTCCAGCGTCGCCAAAGAGACTTCGTCGCTCTCGGAAGCTCTTCTCAGCAAGAGGTAGTATCCGCTTATCAGTTGCTGTGCTTCGTCAGCCATTGTCACGCTCTCGATGCTCGATGAGAGGCGGATGCGATGCCTGGCGGAGCCTCGGATTGCGGCACCTTCGCTGAAGTCCAGGATAAACTTCCGGATAGAATCTTCGCCGAGACTTTGCTCCTCGAACAGTGGAACAACGATGTCGAATTTGTTGAGGAGTTGGCGATGAAGCAGCTCTTTGCTTCCCTGTTTGAAGACTCCTCTCTCCCGGCGGGGATTCCAAGTCGCGTGAACGCCCCAGACGGTTGAGGTGCAAGGCACAACGAGCTCTGGACAGTTCTTCATGGTGAGCACCTCTTTGTCCATGGCGTCGCACAGTAGCTTTAACGCCTCTTTTGTAAGGAAGTCCTTGCAAACGTCGACGATGCAAACACCACCACTGCTCAAAGCTAAGCTCCCTGCGTGCAAGCTCCCGTGGTCAGCAGATCGACCGACTGTTGCTAGCAGCTGCTTCTTGTCACCGGAGTGATACACTGACCGTGTTGAGCATGCTGCCGCTGCTTTCAGCAAGGCCGTGATCGTTGACAGCGAACTCATGGCCGTGAAGAGTAAATGAATTCGCTTCCTGTTTGACTTCGTCTCTTGTAGCGTAGAAACCAGGCTGAGAATCACTGCCACCCTCTGGTACTTGGTTGAAAACCTGAGGTATCCACACTCCTGGTCTCCATAGAACTGTTCTGTCAAGAGCTCCAGAGAAGCTGTGCTTTCTTTCTCTGACCAAGGACTCAGGTCTCTGGGAACGAGCGTCAAGATATTGTTGGCCTCGATCTGAATTTCTCCAAACAAGTTGCTGCTCTTGGGCAATGAAGTCGGAAGAAAGCTCGTTGTGTAGACATGTCCCAGGACAGACACCGTGTCTCCGACATCGATCCTTTGAGTCAAATCGTCAAATAGATGAATTCGAGCAAGCGGCTGGTTTATCACGTTGCCTGTGGAAAGGCTGGGCGAAGGACCCAGAAGCACCTCCTAGAAAAACGTTCCAAGAGGTTCACAACACATAAACTTTATGAAAGAAAGAATTTGGATAGAAACCTGGTGACGAATGTATATAGCAGCCGACTCATCCTCATAGAATCCGGCAAAACAACAACGTGGGAGATGGATTTCTTCCTTGAGCTTGTGATAATCATCGTGGACGGAAGCGCAGCCCCTGCATTTAAATCTTCTCATGAATGGAGAGTATCCAGAAAAGTTACGTCAAGGAAAACGCTATGAAAAGCGAAGAGAGAAACACGCTGAGAAGGATATCTTACCGACGGTATGGACAGCATAGGCGACTCCAAAGACGTGAACGAGATTGCCATTGTCATCCATGCTACAATCCTTGCTCCTGAGGCGCTCCATTGGCGATACTTGAACCGGAGCGGAAGAAACCCTGATCCACAGCCGAGAACCGGACAGCTTGAAATCACGCTCTTCCCGATCGGAATCCACCCCCCGGAGCTCCTTCAGCCGCTCAAGCAGCGATATCGAGAGCTGTTGGGGCTGATTCAAGATCGCCATGCCGAGCTCCAAATCCCAATTCAACGCCTCGGAAGCATCGATCGGCACCACAATGCAGTCATCGCCTTTCTTTACCTTTGCAATGGCGTCACCGAGAGATCCATCGCGCAGCAACCACAGCAAAGCTCTGTCCGCCATCGTGGACATAGCTAGGGCTAGGAAAAAGCCCGCCAAAATTCAAATAACAAAACTAGCAAAAACTATTCTACAGCCGCCCGTGGGGCTCGAACCCACGACCACAAGGTTAAGAGCCTTGCGCTCTACCGACTGAGCTAGGGCGGCAATCGCGAAGACCCTTGGATGCCCATCTAAAGAAATCATTAACCTCAACTTACATAATTTCTAGATACTTAAGTAAAAGATGGAATGTGTTTGCTCAAGCTCCGAGCAGCAATCGATGGATTGGAGAACAGGCAGCGAACAGTCTTTGATCTCACATCGCATTGCGCATCGCTCCTCCAGATCTGTCGCAACGCCAAGGCGGCGGCATCGGAAGGACAGCGCCTTCACGCAGTCCTTGCTCGCTATGGGGTCGATCGATCCACCTTCCTGGGCAATCTCATCGTCCAGATGTATGGCAACTCTAGGAACCTGGCGGAGGCGTGCGCGGCATTCGCCCAAATCGCGCAGCGCAACGAGTTCTCGTGGAACTCGCTGCTGCTGGCATTTGTGCAGAGCGGGCGTCTGGACGATGCCATGAAATCGTTCGATCGGATGCCGCAGTGGGATGAAGTTTCATACAACACGATGGTTTCTGCGTACTGCCAGATCGGACACTTGCATCTCGCAAAGGAGATGTTCGATTCCATGTCCTGCCCAGGAGTTGTGACATGGACCACCATGCTCTCAGCATATGCCCAGAACGGGCATCTTGGCGAAGCAAGAGAGCTCTTCCTCGCCATGCCCGAGAAGAACACCGTGACTTGGAACACCATGATCCAGGCCAATCTCCGCGAGGGATTCGTCGAAGATGCCTGGTGCCTCTTCTCGGTGATGCCCTCCCGGGACGTTGTCTCTTGGAACATCGTCGTCACTGGGCTCACCCAGATCGGCGAGCACGCCGACGCCCACCTCGTCCTCGCCAAGATCCCCGCTCGGAGCATCTTCACCTGGAACGCGATGCTGTGCGCCAGCGTACACGATGGGCACCTCTCCACCGCGAGGATAATCTTCCGCGAGATGCCCGAGAGGAACACGATCTCCTGGAACGCGATCATCACTGGGCTCGCGCACAATGGCCAGCCGCAAGAGGCCCAGGCTGCGTTTGAGGAGATGGAGAAGAGGGACGTGATCTCCTGGACGTCGCTCGTCGCCGCCTACGCACAGATCGAGCGCCTGGATCGCGCGCGCGCGCTGTTTGATCGGATGCCCGAGCAGGACGTTGTGGCCGGGAATGCGCTGCTTATGGGATACGGGCGAGCCCGGCTGGTAGGCGAGGCTTGGGAGATCTTTAGCGCCACCCCTGCTCGAGTGAGCCTCACTTGGAACCTCATGCTCCAGGCTATGGCGGACAGCCGCTGCCACTGCGAGGACGCGCGAGAGCTCTTCGAGAAGATGGCCCGGCACAACATCGTTTCATGGACAACAATGCTTAGCTGCTACGCAGAGGGCGGTCAGGATCAATCGGCCAAAGAGATCTTCGACGCGATGCCTCAGAGGAATCTGGTTTCATGGAGCGCCATGCTGCGTGGATTTATCCAGAATGGTCATCTTGACAATGCCGTGAGAATTTTCTACAAGTCTCCAGCGAGGGATCTAGTCGCGTGGACGCTTCTTGTGAGCGCTTTTGCGGAGCGAAACGAAGTAGAAAAGGCGAAAAGTTGGTTCAAAGATATGCCACAAAAGGATCTAATTGCCTGGACCGCGATGCTCACAGCATTTGCCGTGAATGGGGATTTGGATCGCGCCTGGAATGTGTTCCACAGGCTTCCAGCGAGGAACACGGTCGCCTGGAACGCCATGATCGCGGCTTGCGGCCAGAACAACCAGGGATCACGGAGCTTGACACTGCTGGGCTTGATGGACGTGGAAGGGATCCATCCCAGCGCGACGACTTTCATCAGCGTGGCGGACGCTTGCACGAGCCTGACGGCGCTCAAGGAAGGCCGGCTTGTCCACCAGGAGATCACGCTCGCCAGCGGCGATCTCAGCTCCTCCGAGTCTCTCGGAATCGGCAACGCGCTGGTTAGCATGTATGGCAAGTGTGGCAAGCTCGACGAGGCGCGAGAGGTGTTCGCGGGGATGATCCAGAGGAGCGATATCACCTGGAACGCGATCATCGCCGCGCACACCCAGAACCACTGCAATCTCGGCGACGTCGCGGAGCTCCTGGAGTTGATGCTTCTCGACGGCGTGGCGGTGGACGAGATCACGTCCGTGAGCGTGCTCACCGTGTGTAGCCAGGCAGGGCTTCTCCTCCACGCCAGGGAGTTCTTCCACTCGATGAGCCGCGAGTTCTCCAGCGCTCCAGGGGCGGATCACTACGCTTGCATGATCGATCTCCTCGCGCGGGTTGGCGAGCTGGAGCAGTGCATGAAGCTGATCTGCGCCATGCCTTTCCAGGCGGATGGGATCTCGTGGATGAGCCTCCTGGGCGCTTGCAAGGGATTGGGCGATCTCGAGCGAGCATTAGTGGCGGCGGAGATGGCCGTGCGCTTGAATCCCGAGAACTCGGCGGCTTACATTCTCTTCTCCAACATTCTAGAGAAGGACAAAGGATGATCCGCGATCGTGGGCGAGCGCGTTCATGGATCGAAGCGATTGCATCCGGCTGCTCGAGTCGTGCAAGAGCCTATCGCTCGCGGAGACCGCCCATCGGCGCGTCCGCGAGGTTTATCCCGCGATCCAGGACGATGCCTTCCTCTCCAACAAGATCGTCCAGATGTATGGCCGCTGCGGGAGCGTGGATCGCGCCAGGATCGCGTTCGAGAGGAGCCAGAACAAGGATCCGAGCTCCTGGGTGTTCATGCTTTGCGCGTACTCGCAAAACGGGCACCTGGACGATGCGAAAGAGATCTTCGACCGGATGCCGGATAGGAATCAAGTGGCCTGGACCGCGATGCTTACGGGGTACGCGCGGGTCGGGGATTTGATCGAGGCCAAGCGCGTCTACGATCGAATGCCGGAGTGGGACGTGGTTTCTTCCACCGCGATGCTCAGAGCGTATGCCCAGAATGGGCATATTGTCAATAGTGAGAAGCTCTTTAGCGAGATGCCGGAGAAAAATCTTGTTTCGTGGAGTGTAATGCTGGATATGTTCTCACACAACAATGATCTTGCGAAGGCGAGACTTTGTTTTGACAATATGCCTGAGTGGGATGTTGTTTCCTCGACTACAATGCTTGCAGCATATGCCCAACACGGGCAATATTATAACGCTGAAGGGGTCTTTAACTACATGGAGCACTGGACTCTAGCTACTTGTTCCACGATGCTCGCAGTTTTTGCACAGAGTTTCCAGGTAGAAGAAGCTAGAAACTTGTTCTCGAGTTTGCCGCAAAGAGATTTCGCGTCGTGGATTGCTATGTTGAACTGCTATGCTCAAGTTGGTGATGTAGACCAAGCAAAGATTGTGTTTAATCAGATGCCCGAGTGGAATCTCGCCACCTTCACGGCAATGCTGAACGCGTTTGGAGCCAATGACAAAGTTGACGATGCGAAAGTCTTGTTTGATTCCACACCCGAGCTCGACATGGTACTTTGCACTGCCATGATCGAAGCTTATGCCCAGGCCGGGCATACCGTTCTTGCAAAACACATATTTGAACAGATGACTCAGCATGACATTGTGTCATGGAACTCGATGCTATCAGCTTACGTTAACAAAGGTGGCAGCCTCAATGGTGCTAGGGACGTGTACACTCGGATGCCGTGCTGGAGCGTAGTCACCTGGAACTTAATGTTTGTGGCATATACCCAGGAAGGGCATCTGGAACTGGCAAGGCTCTTGTATGAGGAGATTCCAGTCCGAAACCTAGCATCTTCAACGATTATGCTCGAAGCGTACTCAAGAAACGGCTACATTGAAGAGGCTAGTCAAATCTTTGCACAAATGCCTGTGCAAGATCTTGTTTCTTCCACAGTCTCTATCAATCTTTCTGCCCAGTGCAAGAATTTGTATTTGGCGAGAGAGATCTTTGAGAAAATGCCGGAGCGCAACGTTGTCTCATGGACCGCACTCTTGAACGCTTACGTTTCAAACTCCCAATTGAACTACGCGTTGTCTTTGTTTCATACTCTCCCTTCGCATACTGTTGTAACTTGGAACACCATTGTGGCAGCGTATGCCATGAACGGGCATTCCAGTACTGCGCTCTTTCTCTTCTACTCGATGAGGATGGCAAGCGAGGCTTCACCGGATGGAATCTCGCTCTTGTCCGTTCTGGTCGCTTGCAATCACACGGGAGACTCGGAGCTCGCAAGGTCTTTGTTCGTGTCAATGTCGCTGGACTCTGGGATTGGAGCTAGCAAAGAGCACTATGGCTGTATGGTTGATGTCCTGGGAAGAGCCGGTTACCTGGACGAGGCCGAAGATCTTGTGAACAACATGCCGTTCGAGCCCGATGTTCTAGAGTGGATGAGCTTGCTTGGAGCTTGTCGAGGCTATGGCGACGCTGCTAGAGGGACCAAGATTCTGGCCCGGATTGTGGCGCTGGATCCGAGAAACGTCGCGGCGTTCGTGTATCTCGCTAGAAAAATACAAAGTTGATCCTGTATGAATATGAATCCGTGCCTTGTTATTGTATGGAGGAAAGAAAAACGAGCCTATCTTAGTGAGCTGCTTGTGCAGTTTGGACGCTGTTTCGCATCAAGCTGATGACAGCAGCTGGATCGGGAGCTCCAAAAACTGAGCTCCCAGCGACAATACAGTTGGCTCCGGCATCGGCAGCTTGCTGGATCGTCGAAGGGCCGAGACCACCATCAACCTGTGCGCGGAAGATTTCAAGTAGGGAAAAAGAAAAACTGGTTTCTTGTACCTCGATGTCTAGTGAAGGATATCGAGATCGAAGAGCTTTCACCTGTGTAGAAAGAAGAGATTTACAAACGGGTTTCAGCACGAAAGATTGATTGTCACCTTGCTCATTGTCTCCGGCATGAACTTTTGACCTCCAAAGCCCGGCTCCACCGTCATGATCAGCACCAGATCAACATCCCCGCTATCCACCTGAAAGAATTGTTACACAAACTTTTCAAGTAGCTAAAAACTTACCAGAGGAAAAACTTCCTCCACGGGAGTTCCCGGCTTGAGGCAAACTCCGACTCTCATGCCGCTTTCCTTGACCTTCTTCGACACTCGGTCCCAGTTGTCTAAGAAGAAAAATCAAGCTTAAGTCATAAAAAGATAGCTGCAAGAGATGAAACCTCGAGAAGCTTCAATGTGGAAAGTAAAGCCTGACGCTCCGGCCTTGGCCAGAGGCTCCACATAGTCGAGTGGATTCGTGACCATGAGATGGCAATCCAAGTACGCACTGTACAAAAAGAAATAAAAAAATCCAGAGTCTCACTCGGCCTCTACCTCGTGTGCTTCCTCAGCGATTGGATCACCGGAGCTCCAATCGTCAAATTTGGAACAAAATGCCTGTGGGATCACACAAGATCAGAGCTCTCCTAGGCCACATTTCTTACCCATCCTGCAAAACAACGCAATTCTCTCACTCGATCTCAAATGCGCTCGCTCGCAGCTGGGATCACATACCATAATGTCCATGTGTAGCCAATCCGCGCCGCAATCCAGCATGCGCTGCGCCTCAGCTGCGAGATTGGCGAAGTCGGAGGAGAGCATCGAAGGCGCGATCTTGGCGCTCATCTTGCAAATTGATCACGCACTTCGCACCCTACAAGCCCTTAAATTTTTATCAAAGATTTCATAGAGAAAGGTTTAGCTCGCACGTTTGATACAAGGCGTTGACATGGCCGAGTTGGTCTAAGGCGCCAGATTAAGGTTCTGGTCCGCAAGGGCGTGGGTTCGAATCCCACTGTCAACAATCCCATTTTATCCTTGTTTAGGCTAGTTTTCTTAATACTATACTTAAACCAGTGTTTTTTTCTAATCATATTATTATTTATTTTATTTCTACAAAAATAAACCAAACTTGATTAATAACATCTTATCCAAAATCTAAGGCTGGGCACTAAGGCTAGGGAAAAATGAGTAGCTACACTCTACATCATCAAACCTTCCTTGGTTTTGCTCGTAGCATGGAGCAATCCACGAAGAATCAATCATGTCATACGCAAAAGGGTACAGTGTTCCAAAGGTGGCCTTCTTGTAGAAGCACGAGAACACCACCATATCCCCAGCTACCTCAAGCTTCCAATCGTGGTCCTCTTCCTCATGCATTGGCGAGCATGCCAAATCCCTCCACAGCACCCGCGACACAAGCACCCATCCCGCTAGCTCGTAATTTAACTCCCATATGGAAAATCCCAGCGAACGGTAAGTTGTAACGTCTTGCCAAAACACCAGCTGCGAGGCTAGATAATACTTCCCCTTGTACGTGAATACGAGTCGGCTTAGGGGCGTCCAACCTTCCCAATCACCTCCTCGATCGATCTCCGGATCAAGGTTTGCGATGGCCGCCCTGTCGTAGTGTGACCAGAGCCTGCTGCTAGGATCATACGCGAGAATGAGATGAGCCACATGGTAAGTATAGATCGCATTGCCTCGAAGCGGTGATCCCTGCGATGTGTCGAAGGAGAAAGGCAGCCCACTCTCCCATATCCCTGCCTTGGAGTCGTACTGCATAGGATAGACGAGGTACATTTTCTCGTCCGAGAAGAATTTCATACCATTCTCGTCAGCTGGGCCAGCATCACTATCCTTGGTGTAGAGCACCACAATCTGATACGACCCCTGATCTTGATCGTGTAGCATGGAGATCGTCAGGGAAGGAGGGGGCAATACGTCGCATTCCTCGATGGGTGGAGGAGGGAGCGTTCTCCAGGAATTGGTGATAGGGTTCCCCACGGCCAGCGCCAACGAGGATTCGTGCTCCATAAGCCTGCCACAGACCAGCCCATTTGAAGAACAAAGGCCCACGAAATGTGAGCCATGCGGTCCCATGGTCAAACAGCAGCTGGCTGGGCCGCCCTCTTTTGGACGCCACAGCTCGACATGGTTCTGCAGCGTCATCCGGTAATCGTAGTAGTTATCGAAATCGCCACTGGCAAGGGAGAGGAAGAAAACTTGAAAGGAAAGGACTCAAGAATCTGCATACTTATACGTACATGTCATCTGGCACCTCTGTTCTGACCCGGAGTGCACACCATAGTTGCCGTAGCGACGGGCTGGACGCATACACTGTGGTGAAGCGCCGCGAGAGCACCGCGCGGTACCATGACTTGCAGACGGCTCGCAGCCTGAAGAGATCTCGCAAGTTGTGCAAGAAGCTCAGGATGTAGAGCACCAAATCCTCTTCTTGCAAGCGCTCAAAAGCACCACAACAGCAACTCTGATCCATTTTGACCGCAGAGAGGAAAATGGAATGGGATTGTTTATTTTAAAATATGACAGATCTATTTGTGGCATTCTTGGTTGATAAGTTGAAGTTACAGGAGGTAACATTGTTCTTGATCCTCCACGGATATTGTGCAAGCTAATTCGAAAATGGGTCTGATTTGGGAGCAAGGAGGTGTGTTGAGTACATTCTCTGGATGGTACCGCGAGCTGGTGGTGCTTTAAGGGTGTTGTGATGGCTCCCATTCAATTGCAATTGGCTCCCCTTCAGGTTGCCGAGCTAGGCTAGCCATTAGATGCTCAAGGCAGGCAGCTTGCCAAACGCGAGTTCCTGAGTAGTGCTGGAAACAAGAGAACTTACAAGAATGGTGCTATAGTTTATTTTTCATACTACACACAGGTATATTCATAGTCCTATGCTTTTCAGTTGGGCATGACAGTAACTATAACACAATCAACATGAAGAGTTTGCAGTATTTCTTTGCATTTTTCCTTCATGATACGAGCAGTGTTGATGTTATACAATCTTAAAAATATTCTAAGAATATTTCTTTCTACCTTTCCATCTCACGTAAAAACTCAGCAAAATTTAAATAAATAATAGAAAGATCATTAAAACTACTTTTCATATAAAATATTTATAAAAATTAATAAATTTACTATTTTCAGAATAAAACTAATTATTAAATTTTATATTTTTGCCAAAAAATAGTTTCTTTTATTAAAAATTAAAAATTTTTGATCACTTTTGATCTGCACAATCCTTGGCAACCATGATTCTAAATTACAGTTCACAAACAACCAACTTATCTTGTAGATTCAAAGCTTTTTCCCACATGCTTGCAAGATAATTGTGCATCTAAAAATGGATTTAGTTACAAAAATAAAAAACTTTGCTTAAACCATTTTTACTTTTTTAACAATCTACGTTTTATTTTAGTTTTAATAAAAGAATACTCTCGAATATCCTAGGAATATAATAGGATATGCCTAGAATCTATTAATTTACCGGAATTTGGGAGCCAAGCACTCCTTCTGGCTACAGCAATTGGGAAAAACGGAGCTGGATTATGGACCGCTGGTTTGTGGATGAGCAACAGCCGCTCAAGCGATGGTAACGAGAAGATCTTGGACGGGATGGGCCCACGGCTCTAGGCGATTGTAAGCGTCTTGAGCTTACTCAAACAGAAAATGGAATGTGATTGTTTATTATGTTTGACAGATTTATTTGTGGGATTTTCGGTGTTTATACAGCAGCTCTAGTAGTATTACACATAGCAGCAGCCGTTCTCCACCGATGGGCTATTTTTTATGGAGCGCACACTGAAACATTGACCACGATAGGCGAAACCAGCTCCTTTGCAGTTATGGAGGCTACTTCGATAGTGAGTCTGACTTTGCAAGCAGGGAGGTGTGTTGAGGACATTTTCGGGATGGCAACTTGCATACAGAGCTTCCCCGCGAGCTGATGGCGTCTTGGGAATGGCGTCAAGGCTCACATTTGTGTCCCTGTGAGGTTGATGAGCTGATGTTGCCTCTCCAGTGCTGTTGAGGCTAGCCGACTGCTGCCCAAGAGCAGGCAACTTAGGAAATTCGAGGTGAATAGTGGGAGAAACAAGTAGAGAAGTTGCAACAACAAGAAGAATAAGATATGCTGCCATTATTTATTTTTGATAGTAGACATTGGAGTCATATTTATAATGAACTATAAAGAGTTTGCAGTACATTCACAAGCTTTATTTCTTCACATTCTTTTTGCATGATATGAGAGGTGTTGACCAGTTGTTCTTATTGCTCCATAGGTTTTTTTGGCGAATTTGTATCATTCAGAAATCCCGCAAGTAAATGTAGATTAAATCTTGGCAATAAGAGACAAGTTAAGCTTGGCTTGAAAACTTTTCTAGAAGTGGAGACATTGGCAGTTGATATGGATTGCCACCATCGCCTTGAGTGGCCTTGCAAGCACCCTCAAACGCTTTACTACAAATAGTCGCCCATTCCATCTTTGTCCATCAACAGCTTCGTCACTCCCCTGAACATCCCACCTCAAGAAAACTTCTTGATTGAGAGAAAAAGAAAGAAAGAATGGAAGGGCGAGTTTCTTTCGCTTGATCATGGCTTCCAAATCTGGCTGGCGCTAGAATGTTTTCCATGTTTAAAAGAGTAAACTTGGTATGGGTATCACGTCAGCAACAATGGACAGCCCCCGCAAACTTAGTAGATCTTGTCCCACTCATCATCATAAAACAGAAGAACTCGGAAGTCCGACGCTGCCACCATATCTCCCATTCGGGCAGTTCATCTTGAGCAGTGCTAGGAGCCATCTGTATCACTGTATAATCTGACTAACTCACCGGACAGTCGTGGGATTTCATTTCAACGTGAAGCTGTGGTCTCATGTTCCAGTGCTTTTTTATCCTTCACATCTCCTGCAGAGACCACCTCCTAGACTCTGAAGATGGTTTCTCCAGATCATTATAAACTCGGCAGGAAGGTAGCAGCTTGAGAATTAGATCACCTTACCAAGCCTCTGGCGGAGGGCGATGTGGCAGTTCCTCGTCCCAGTCATGCTGGGCTGAAACCTTTGAGCTTCGTTCATACCTGAACCTGACATTGAGCTCCAGCTGCTTAAAATTTGGAAATGCGCATATCAAAACTTATTGGATCAGCTGGTTTAGGATTGTAGGCAAAAACGTGACAAATGTTTATATGGGTTTAAGGATTTTGAACAATGTGTATTAGAATAGCAGTAGTGGATATACCTAAAATATACTTAGAATTATGGGATATTCTAATCATCCTTCTATATTTAAAAGAGTAAGGGTGACATATTCAATCGAGATTCTTTTCGAGAGATGAAGACACGTGGGAAAAACAGCTGATAAATCCAATTGCCAATTCTATATCTCCAAAGCTACACTTGTCTGAAATTGTATATCTTTGAATCTGCTGTCCTATTCCAGCTTGAGTTACAGCTTTTGATTTATTCTCTAACCAGAAGATCCTTAAAAGCGCCGAGAATTGTGAATATGAAAGCAATGAGTGTTCCAATTCGAGTGTCATCCTGCACTCACACAGCAACAGATCTAATGTTCATCACATATCTTGGTTGGTTTGTGTGCTCAATGACACTGACTAACAGACCATTTCAGTATTTCCTTTAGCAGATCCCAAACTGCAATAGAAGCATTGCTACTGTAAGAACAAAAATATTATTTTCTCTTGTGTTTTAAAGTTACTGCTGAGGTCATGGGAGCAGCAGCGCCTACAATTTTCAGACTCAAAGTAGGAGCAAGTAACTGATTTTCCATTCTCGCCCTGTTTCTTCTTGTTTGTACTGTTTTCTAGAAGATTAAGTGAAACATTTTGTCAAGTATGCCTTGTAAACCTGATTGGAAGCTTTGCTC